ACTATAAATAGGTAAACCCCATTCGAGGTAAGGGACTTTTGACTCTTCAGCCTCCATACTGTTATTCTGTTTATGCTCGAATCGACATCACTCTCACTTGCTCAGCCCGACCATCCAACCTCTTCCATTACTGACTTGAGCATTGGAATGCCTATTAGGGGAACAATTCCTCGAGCCTCTGATCACTTTCTTGTTTTATATCTTGTTGCATAGATTCCTCTTTTCACCTCGGCTTCGCCAATTGACAGGATTATCTAACTGTGATCTTGATTCAAAACACCTCAGACCAGATAACATCATATATATAAATACATTTAATAAAAAGAAATAAAAAAATTAACCTCACTCAAGACTAATTTGAACGGCTAAACCAAACCCAGAGTTCTAAATTAGGTTAGGGGTTTCAACAACTGGGATTGGATTGCATTAATCTCAACCAGACCTAACCCAGCCCGAGCTCGGGCTGCACCCCTAATGAGATTCACCCGAAACAATCAAGCTCCCTAACATCGATGGTCTTCACATTCCATTCTCCTATTTCAGACTACGAATAAGTGTGATTCAAGAGTCAAGATAGGGAAGTTCATTCTTTGTTGAGACAAATCACAATGGTTATGGCACTGTTGAAGCGTTGTACTGAAACAATAAAATCAAAACCTTTGATTTATTTATATATGGCCCCACCTTGAATTAAATGAGCTGACATTTATATACAGTCACCATCAGCCTTCAATTTTCTTTTAGCAAAAGTGAAATCTTTCATATATCCCAGATGGCAACCTGGCCATTGTGGCCCAAAGATGAACCTTGAACATAGAAAATCAGCCAATACCAATCCATCCACCCAACTTAACCAAAGAAAGTGTTTATGGTAGAAATTACGAAAAACACAAGAATGATAGAAATTACAAAAGAAAAAACACAACAAATGAAGATAATTGAAAAACATATATTTCAGCCAAAAATAGAAAAAAAATGTACAAAAACACAGAAATTTAAAGGAAATAATATGACGTATATTTCATCCAAAACAAGCTGAAATTGCAAAAAACAGGTAAATTGATTGAAAATCCAAAGATACATATATTTTAGTTAAAAAATTGGCATTACAAAAAGACACAAATCAATAGAAAATCCAAAAAATCATATTGCAAATAACAAAAATTACAGAAAAAATATAGAAATTCATGGGAAATCCAGGAAAACATATGTTTCAGATAAAAATAGCAAAATTTGCATAGAACATAGAAATTCATAGTAACCCACAAGGCCATAAAAAACCTTGTGCACACGGGGTATTTATTAAAGCGAGAACTTTGGCCGCTATTAAATTGTAAGTATAATTGCTTTTTTTATTAAGGATCTTAAAGGCACCTCGCCAAACATTCAAAATTTTTCATAAAAACGACAAGGCATGACGATATGTAAAAGGATCAATATCACATATATAATAAATATTACAAGGGGTTTAAGGGGTGACGACTAGTGGTAGGCATGGGTCGGTTTGGTTCGATTCAATGGCACAACTCTGTAGGAACTTACTTTGTAGGGGGTAGTTCTAGGTTTTTGTAACAGGAACTTACCTTGTTAAGGTCAGTTTGATCTTGGCAGTTCCAGGGTCTACCCGTGGAACCTATTCTTTCTTTACTCTCTTTAAGAAAAAAAATTGAAACATGTCCTTTAAAAACTTGATTTTCAATAATGATAATACATAGTTTAAAATTTATATTATCATTATTGATTAAATTGAGTAATTTAATATGTAGATTATCATAAAATATTAATATATGATTAAAAAATTGTCATTAGGATTTAAATTTTGTAAATATTACCTTTTATATTATTTATTATACACATAAATATTAAAATGAAAACAAATGATCAAATCACTTATGCAACTCGATGGTCAAGTGAGACCATGGCTTTTGTAACCATGAGTGATTGGGCTCAAACTTTTAAATCCTTAAAAATATTTTGGGGTTTATTTAAAGGCAAGTTTGATTTAAAGGTTGGTTCCCCCAAGGCCAACCAAGGCCGATTCACGGTCGGTTCAAGTAGGGTAAACCCCTAGACCCTTGGAACCAACTTGGGTGGGGGTAGGTTCCAAGAATTTGGAACCAGACCCTTCCTCATAATAGATCAGGTAGGGCCAGCTCAAGGCCAGCTTGCAATCATGTGGATTTGATCCCCACATTCACATGCCTCCATTTTATAAAAGCACTGTTACAAAAGTACTTTTACACAAAAGCACTTTTATTATATCACTTTTATAAAAGAACTTTTATGGAAGTACTTTTATAAAAGTACTTTTATGAAAGCACTTTTATAGTACTTTTATAAAAAACACTTTTACGAAAGCACTTTCTTTGAAGTACTTTTATGAAAGAACTCTTACAAAAGCACTTTTACAAAAGTACTTTTATGAAAGTGGTTTTATAAAAACACTTGTACAAAAGTACTTTTATGAAAGTATTTTTGCAAAAGCACTTTTACAAAAATACTTTTATAAAAGTACTTTTACAAAAGCACTTCTACAAAAGTACTTTTATCAAAGCACTTCTATGAAAGTACTTTTATAAGCACTTCTATGGAAGTACTTTTCTAAAAGTGCTTTTACAAAATCACTTTTACAATGTATTTTCAGTAAAAGCACTTTTATGAAAGTACTCATTATCAAAGCACTTTTACAAAAGTGCTTTTTCAATGACAAAAGTGCTTTTATATGATTTTTGATATTTCATTCGGTTTGGATTGGATCCAATCCATTTACATTTTAATGGATTGGATTTGGACTAAATTGGATCTAGTTCATTTGTAAGTGGATTCACATTGGACTGGACCGAGTTGGACCAAATCCAATCCAATTGACACCTCTACCCAGAAGTGATCATTTTCCAATTGTTTTATACATAAGTGCAAATAGAACCAATTAGGTGGGCAGCCCAAGGTTTAAAGCAATCTAGACTCAGGAACCCAGTTTTAATGGTTAAGTTGATTCAGCTTGGAAGAAAGCGAGGGGTTCCGTGCATGACTTGTAAAATCCACATAACACAATGGGGGAGGCAGATTCTAGGCAAATTTTGCCAACGAATGCATAACATTGAAGAGAAGTTACGGGAAATTCAAAATGGAAGTGTTGATGCTCCCACAAAGAAGTGAGAGTTGTCTCTGAGAGCTGGACTTAACCACTTGTTAGAAGCAGAGGAATTGTATTGGACGTAGAGATCCCCATGTTACTTGGCTCTAAGAAGGGGATAGAAATACTTTTTTTTTTCACATCTTAGCCTCTAATGGAAGAAGAAGAAATAGCATTCAATGACTACAAAACAGTGGTAGGTCATGGACAACAGATAGAGAGGAAATTTCTACCATTGTGAGGGAGTTGTACGAGCACCTCTACAAATCTTCCCACCCAATTCTCCCGCAGATCCAAGATGATGTCATCCTTAGCTAGATAAGTAGCGAAGACAATGAATCTTTGTGCAAAGTACCCTCCTTTGAGGAAGTTAAGGATGCACTTTTCAAAATTGGACCTCTTAAGGCCTTGGGGCCAGATGGACTACCGACTATTTTCTTTCAAAGGATTTGGAATGAGATAGGTAGTGATGTTGTGAAGTATGTTCAACAAATTTTCATCACCCCAGAGATTGTTATAGAAGTCAATGACACTCTTATTGTCCTAACCCCTGGTTTTGACAAATTTCTTTTGGGGTCTTTGGTATTATGGTATGCCTAGAAAGCTCGCAATAAAATGGTTTTTGAGGGTAAAAAGTTTAACCCCACTTTAGTCTTATAAGAGGCTATAGAGCACTATGAAGAAATCTGGAATTTACATTGCACAGACCAAAAAGATACCCCTTCTCTCCCTCCCCCCAATGTACTAAAACTGAATGTTGATGGAGCCATGGGTCCGCATTACTTTGGAATCAGAGTAATCATTAGAGGCTTAGGAGGAAAGTTTTACATGCATGGATGGCTAGAGCCATGAACACTGAATGTGGTACCATAGAACAAATCGAGGCACTAGCTTTCCTAGCTTGAGGGCATCAAACTAGCCATTGAATTACAGATCCCTACCATCGTTTTAGAAGGAACACACAAAAGATAGTCTCTCTTGTTGAACCCCTCCTTAGTGGTTTCCTAGCACATTCACCACTTTATAGTCGAGTAGTGCAAGAGTCTTTTGCGACTATTCTCTCTTTTTCTATATCATTTGTCTATCGTACAGGTAATTGTGTGGTTCATTCGATTACAAAAAGGGCTTGTTCTTTGTCTAAGCCAAAGACTTGGTCTACTCCACTTGAATTTTTAATACTTGTACTTTTAAAAGATGCAATGAGATGATTCAGCATACCAGCATTTTTTTTTTAAAATCACCATCAAATGGCTTAAAAAATACAAAATATTAACTACAGACCTACAACATTTCAAAATATCAATTACTTCCACCCTATGCAACAATGCCCGCCTGTAAATTCTAACGGACTGAATCGTCAATCTCCCAAAATAATCACTATAAAAAAATTCAAGTGCTAATTATTAACGTGTTTACAATGCTGTGATTACTTGATCGGGATATAGTAGGCAGAGCATCCTAAAAGCATATTTAATGAGCACTTACACTATGTCAAAATGGGAAAAACTTTGGCTGGACTGTTTTGGTAGGCTGATGTGAATGATATTTGATAATGAGTGTGGGGAAAAAGGTATTTACACTCAATATGTTTAGTTGAAAAAACAAACAAGGACCTGAATTATATTATGTGCAGAGGCTCCCAAGTCCCAAATCTAGACTTAGGGTATTTTAAAGAACACGTGTAAACAAAATTTTCTAAGTACTTATTAAATGGATGTCCTGCAGTTAGCAATAAAAAGTCGCCATGTCACTCGTGGATCTTATCTTAAATGACGTGACAAAATCTCATTGGTGTGATTGAAGAGGGAACACTGGACCACCTTTTAAGACGTGGGTCTCATGTAGTCGCTTGGCCGGCGAAAAAGGCTGTGAGAACCGTGTAAGGCTGTAAGCACAGTTTTGTGTGCACCAAAACCGATTTCGGTGAGTACAGCAGAAGTAGCAAGTATTTATATTCACGATAGTGTACGTTGTTGTTTGAAAAATCCGCGCCTCCGCGGCAAAATTCGATGATAATGCAAAGAAGAGAAGAAGAAACTTATAACCAGAACCACATACAATTTCTATATTAATCTTCGTTCTCCCTCCCTCAGGCCGAACCCTAATCCTCACAATGCTGTCTCTGCAATTCCTGCTTTCACCTATTGACAACAGTCTTTGGCCTTACAAATCAAAACCATCTTCATTGATCCTCCACCATCGATCTCACAGATGCAGAAATGACTCGCGGCCCTTCCTTTCTATGTTTCTTCCTAAATATCGTGCTCTCGGTGCTACAGCAGATTTGAACTATGAACAGGAAGATTCCAATGTAAGACTTACTGAAGCCGGAGTTCCTGCGGAAGAAGGGCTTTTGCCCTCTGGTCTCCGGCGAGAATCGTTGCCGAGGCATGTTGCTGTGGTAATGGATGGTAACGCGAGGTGGGCAAAGCGGAGGGGGTTGCCGTTGTCTTCGGGTCACGAAGCTGGCGTTCGGGCTCTAAGAGAGCTTATGGAGCTATGTCGCAAATGGGGAATCAGGGTTCTCACCGTTTTCGCGTTCTCATATGAAAATTGGATACGGCCCAAAGTCAGTAGGGTCTAGTTCCTTTTCTTTTCTTTTTCCCCCCTTCCAAAAGAATAACATAGAGAAGTACTATTTCCGGTGTTGGATATCAATTTTTTTTTTGAATATTCTCTTGGTTAATTCGGTTGAATTTCAGGTGGAGGTTGACTTTTTGATGGGTCTGTTTGAGAGGGGAATAAAGGAAGACCTGAAGAATTTCGTCAGGTACCTTCCAATATGTCTTCTTGGTTGATATGCACTACGGAATTTGATGGTTAGGGGAATAAGTAGATTCCAAGAGATGCATGTTTTTTTCTAAATTAGGTTATATAAATATAACTCACTTTTTCTTTCTTTTTTGGGCAAATATAAGTATATAACCAAGCATTAGTATTACTAATAGAAGGTCCTTTAGAAGAACCTCCTGAGACCGGAGAGGAGTATCAAACCAACCAGTTTCTACAAGAAAAGGCATAGCTTCCTGAGCTGAACATTGAACAACATGGTTAGTATTACAGGATGCATCATGGTTAACAAAAGATAAGTCCAAAATTGATGCTTGTAATGACAAAATATAATCCAGAAGAGGCCTAGGATGCCAATCCAACGGGTCAAAGCGTCCCTTAAGAGCTACAATTGCTAAAAAGGTGTTTCTTGCCAAATTAAGGTCCGAGAAAGAAACACTGGCGGCTGCCTTAAAGATATCAGCTCCATCTCTAAACTGCCTTATTGATCCCTTCTCCACCTCTTGCTTTTAGTAAAGAACCACAATTAGAGCCTGCAACATATCCATAAGATGCAAACTTCTGTCCAGTGAAATCACAACAATTGTGGAACACATCCATAGATGGTTGGCCTGAAAGCAAGTGAAATTAATTTGCATCAATATTTACTATAAGATTGGAATAGTTAGGGGCATGAATCTGCATCTTGGTCCTTTTCACTTTCTTTTCTGGAACATTGTGAGGTAGTTGTTATAAAGGCAATTTAAATGAAAAGGATATTGAGGGATTTGCACAACTAGGTAAATGAATCAAAAAATTGGTTCCAATATACCATTTTCTTCATTTTCTTCTTAGTATTTGGTTCGATAACTCAAAGTTATGGTTTACCCAAAAATCTGTGAGATTGTTGATCCAAAGTAGAAACAATTAAAGTAGCATATGGGTTTAATTCTGTGAAACTAAACATCCCAGATGAACTCCACTGCTTCCTACATTGAGTGGGTTCATCATTTTATACGAACCTCATAACTAATTTATATTGTCGATAAATTAGATAGAGAACAATCAGGTTTTAATTTTATATGATTTGATAAAATGGTATTATCTGCCATCAATCCAATTAAAGGTCTATCTCCTAATATGTCATTGACTTAACTTTGAGATGCTTACAAGAATTAACGAGCCCTTTGGGATGAACTTCTCTTTTGGCATCACTTGGAATTTTTAAACATGATTATGAAGAAGGTAATTAGTTGGGATAAGGCTTAGATGATGATGATAAACAAAGGCAATTACCCAATGTTGGTACTAGCTATTTGGGGTCCTGGGAGGGGTGGACTGTATACAGACCCAACCTTTGGCATCTTTTTTTTTTTCTTTGCACAAAGTGGCCACTCTCAGACTCAAACCTTTTTTCTCATGCTCGTCAGTTTGGGAACCATTATACAACAAGATGTAGGGAAAAAATGATCAAAGTCTTAGGTGGCTTTTGGTAGTATGAAATATTGCCACTCACATCTGAAAGATAATCACATAAGTGGTTATCCCCCTTTCACTTCATTGTTTATTACTTTGATAGGTTCACTCATATCTGAAAGTTTACTCTAATTGGTAAGTGTTTGAATTACCACTTATCATTTATTAGTTGTGTACTTGAGTGTTTCCTCCACTTTGTTAACCTTTTAAAACATTAATCATGAAAAGTACCCCTCATACCCATGTTCTAAGAAAAGAAACTGAATAGCCACTCTGATCAACAAATCTAAACGATAGTCTAATCAGACTTCAAAGCTAGATTCTTCAAACATAAAAGTAAGCTCTTATCCCAATTAGATTTAATTATCCAGAGGTGTTAGACTTTAAACTTCCAAAGACAACCTTAGTTCTTGTGTTAGAATAGGAATTGCTATAATATTTAATAATTTTAGGTGTCTTAGGTTCATCTTTTTTTTTTCCTTTCTTGTGACTTGCTTTTGATGGGTCAAAACTCATTCATTTTGCATGATTTTAGTTATTGGATGGACATTTTTCTTTTTAGTTACCATCCAACAAGACATGAATGATTGAATTACCACTTATCATTTATTAGTTGTTTAGGTGGTGTCTTTGGTTCATCTTTTTTTTTTTTTTTTTTTTTTTTTNTTTCTTGTGACCTACTTTTGATGGTCCAAACTCGTTCATTTTGCATGATTTTAGTTATTGGATGGACATTTTTCTTTTCAGTTACCATCCAACAAGATATGAGTGACTGAATTACCACTTATCACTTATTAGTTGTATACTTATTACCGAAAGTGTTGCCCCTACTCTGTTAACCTTTTAAAACTTTTATCATGAAAAAAGTACCCCCTTGTACCCATGTTCAAAGAAAAAAGACTGAATAGCCACTCTTATCAACAAATCTAAATGATAGTCTAAACAGACTTCAAAGGTAGACTCTTCAAAAAAGAAAAAAAAGGTTCTTATCCCAATCAGATTTAATTATCCAGAGGTTAGACTTAAAACTTGCAAACACAACCTTAGTTCTTGTGTTAGAATAGGAATTGCTATAATATTTAATAATTTTAGGTGTCTTAGGTTCATCTTTCTTTTTTCTTCTGACATGCTTTTGATGGGTCAAAACTTATTCATTTTGCATGATTTTAGTTATTGGATGGACATTTTTCTTTTAAGTTACCATCCAACAAGATGAAGATCACACAAATCCAACATGTTAAGCATGTTATGGCCACTTTATTGAGAATGTATCAGTTAATGATGGAATGAGGGTGCCCTTATTATTACTGCATTGAAGACCTTCTCTTCAACCACTCTGTGTCCCATCTATAGAGAATCTAGACCAACCATCAAATTGGTCTCACCTGAAAGATCACCTGCTTAGAAGATCAAAAACGTTAGATAACTTTCAGCCATGTTTGTAAATTCTTTTTTTGGATGTTTAAAAGTAGCTCATCCACCATTAGATAGAGTCTAATTTTCTAATTAGATCATTTGTTTGTGGCTTTGTGCTGAGTCCTTGTATGAGTATTGTTTAGTGCGAGGCCTATCTGATAGTGGGTCTCTATCTTCTTTACTTGGGCAGGTGGCAGCTTAGGAGGGCAACTCATTGCTGCTATTATGAGGGTTCTGTCATTGTAGCATGCCTTTCTTTCTATTTATTTTCTATGCTGGCACTTCATGTGTTTAAGCAGTCAGGCTTCTAAGTAATAGGTTTGTTTAAATATTATGCAATACATTTGTCTGTTAGTCTATATAAACAGCTATAAACCCCATTTCCTTGGTGAGCTCATCAAGATAAAGTTGTTGCTTCTTTGGAGGAAGTTGCATGTATGCTTATTTTCCTGTTGTTGTTCCCTTCAGAGAAAATCTGGTCTTTACTTCTTGATTTTCTTTAATGTGACATGTATGACCATGACACTGAAACATGGTTGCCTTGTGAGTTGTGGCAGGGAGGAAATCCAGATATCTGTAATTGGTGATTCATCAAAGTTACCAAAGTCCCTACAGAAGCTTATAGCTGAAGCTGAGGAGATCACAAGAAACAACACACGGCTCCATCTGATTGTTGCAGTTAGTTATAGTGGGCACTATGACATTGTACAAGCATGCAAAAACATTGCTCACAAAGTGCAAGAAGGTCTGATTACACCAGATGACATCACTGCAGATGTGATTGAGCAGGAACTAGAAACAAGATGTACAGAATTTCCCCATCCAGATCTACTTATCCGTACTAGTGGTGAGCTTAGAGTGAGCAACTTCTTGTTGTGGCAGCTAGCTTACACAGAACTATTCTTCGTTCAATCACTATGGCCTGATTTTGGAGAAACGGAGTTTGTAGATGTTCTACATTCATTTCAACAAAGGCAAAGACGCTATGGGGGACGTGATTGATAAATTCATTTGACTTAAGGGAAAGACTAGGTCTGGACCTATCAATTAAATAATTTCATTTCATTCCCAGTGTTCATGTTTTCAAATTTACATTTCCCCTTCTCTAAATTTCTCTTTTGGTTCAAGCAGGACTTTTGCTAGGCATGGCATGGTTGACGGTTCTCTAGCTTGGCATTTCCTCTTTCAGCAGACTGTTGCTATGTTCAAGTTACAAATGACATGAATAAGAAACAAATGCAAGTACATAAAGGATAAATATGTGTATGGTTAATCGTGAGGTAATTTATGTTACTTTATAAATATAATATGATGTATCGGTGAAATTCTTTCAATTGTATGTTTCTATTAGATGGGAGAGCTTTGGTGTAAGGTAGAAATGATAATTTAGTGTTTTTTTATTCTTTTCTTTTGTCTTCTTTTTATGTTTGAATCAGTTATAATAAAAATGATATACATATTGGCCTTTTACTTGATATGTTGGTTCTTTTAAGACAATATGAGAAGAAGTTATGTAAGCACCATTTCTTTTATCTTACTTACAATAACAATCCTCCAAAGTGGTATAAGGTTTCATGTAAAATAGGTGTAAATGCAATTTTCTTACAATTTGCTTGCAATGTAATATTCATTTGCACGGGTGTAAATGCATGGAGAGTGCAAATAGGCTGAGTGTAAATTCTGGTTTGTTTTTGCTTCATATTTGACTCTGCCTTATTTGTATGTGAGAAGTAAAATAGGTGGTAAAATAATGTGTATCCCCACCTTATATGAAAGAGAATAGAAGTGGAGGAGGGTTATTTGTTTAGAACGACCAGGGTTTGCACTTATGATAAGGGCTATAGCCTAGGTCCGGGCCTGGAGCAACTTGGGTTTTGGGCTTGAAACATAAGCCTAGGCCAGGCTAGGCTTGATTCTAGGTCTGTCTTTTATATATATAATATTTTATATTAAATGGCATTTTTTTAAAGGTAAAAAGAAAAATTTTATTGAAAGAAAAATGATGGGTACAAACAACAAAAAAAGGTGTTAAGATAAACACCCACCCTTCAATAACAAAAAATAAAAAAAATTAAGATCATAAGTTAGAGGTAAGGGTGGCCACGAGCCGAGCTTTTCATGAGCTATTCGAGCTCGGCTTGGCTTGGTTTAAACCGAGCTTCGAGCCTAATAAAGCTTGGCTTGTAAGGCTCGCGAGCCTAATCGAGCTTCTACATATATATATATATATATATAATAAAAATGTTATATATAAAATATTTTTATTTTTATATATAATAATAATAACTAATTATTATAATTTTTAATTTTTAAATATCAAATAAAAATACTTTTTTATATATAAATTTTATTTTTATAAAACATTTGGTTCACAGTCGAGCTTGAGCTTACGAGCTTTTCGCTCGAGCCAAATTCGAGCTCAAGCCTCTAGCTTGAACCGAGCTTGAGCTCGAGAGTCATACTTTCTTGGTGGGCCAAGCTCGAATAGCTAGCTATTCGGCTTAGCTCGACTCAAATCCACCCCTACTTGGAGGGAAGCAATTGAAAGCTACCCCGAGACAGAAAAAGCTTAAAATTCTTCTTTGAGCATTTCATCTTGTCCATCTCCTTCAACTCCTTCCTCATTCCACACGTCCCCCAACTACGATCTTCTTCGAGCTTTCTTCCCTCTTGCTTTTTTCAAAAGCTTCGAAAACCTTTCTGGCAAACTCCTCTCCTCCCCAATAAAACAAACCTAAGTTCTTGCTTATCCTAACATCCTCAGTGTTTTAAAAGCGTAAGGCGCAAGGGTCAATTTGCGCTTGAGGCGCAAGGCACAAAAAATAAAAAAAAAATAAAAAAAGCCAAAAATTTCAAGAAAATGCAAAAAATAAAAAAATATTAAACATAATATTAATAAAAATATAAACTTTAATTTTAAAATAAATGTTTTAAAAAACCTATTATCTAATATTAAAATACATAAATATAATATGTAAAGCATATTCAAATGAGAATTTAAAAATAAAATCAAATATATAAAACATTTTCAAGCATATAAAACCCAAAATCTCTTTATTTCTCAATTGCATTACTTCAAGTAGCTAATGTGATGTAAAACTTATTACATTCCTAATTCTCCGAGCTGCCTTTGTACCACGCCCCTCGAGGCAAGCCCAAACAAGTCCACGTTAGGCCTTAAATTCTTAGTTCTCACACAAAAAATAATGATTTTATGGTTTTTATTGCTTTTCAAGAAGACATTTTATTAGGATGAGTGAATGAACAACACTACCAAATAGGGGGTTCTCGAAGCAAAAAAAGCGTGCACCTGGGCTGCGGCGCATGGAGCACCAAGCGTGCACTTAGGACCTGGGAGAGGCACCTACCTTGAAATGCGCCTAACTTGTGCGCATAGGCGTGCCTTTTAAATCATTGGACATCCCTATCAACCAAACAATCTATCTCCACTTTCCCCCCGTTTTCTCCCGTGCTAACTAACAAAGTCGCAATTGAGCCATTTTCACTTTTTCGATTACTCCTTTCCTCATCCTCAACCTCTGGCCTCAACTCCAAACCTTCTTTAGTAGTTGATGTCTATTGCAATTGAACCCCTTGTGAATCTTGGCACTTGGCTCCCTTGATCTCAACAACTTTCATCTTTAAAGCTTTATCTTTTGAGCCTTTTTTCTTATAAACTTTCTTGAATTTGTTGGTAGGACTAGGACCAACCAAACCATCTTTCAAACATGAAAAGAACTTTTGACACGTGGATAAGCTAGAACTTGCTCAACTCTCTTACTTTCTTCAAAGACTTTGAAGCTGACTCTCGTATGCGTGATTGCTCAACTCTCGTCTCTTTTGCTCGCTTCTTTAGGCTGATTGCTTGTTTACAACTGCCTAGCTTCCCCTCCCCTCCTTCAAATCCCCCCTCCTCTGTACCTCTTTTGAGAACCTTCATCCCCCCTTACTCCCTCCTCTCCTTTCTCTACCCAGCCTCCTTTCCTCCCCTATCTCCCTCAACCCTAGTGGAATCTCTATCAGATGACACCAAACGCCCCACTTGGGGCAAATCAACAAGAATTTCCTCCACAAAAGAGCAAAAGCAAATAAACCTACTTGAAGGCCGGTTAATCTTTATCTGTTCCTCCGATCTCCTAGCATCTTTCTCCTTTGGAACGAATATAGCTTCACCGCATGCAAGATGATGAAGCTTCTTCCCATCAGTTCGACTCTCCTTGTTTTACAGGCTCACAGTTTCTTCCAAAGTTGTCATAATTAGTGATGATCCAAACCTAATCCTCCGCCTTGTTGGGTCAAAGCCTATGGAAATCGCTCTTTCTCTTTCTCCCCTTGAATTGCAAAACCTTGGTGCCATATCTTTTTCTTACCTTTATTTTGTTGCTCCTAAAACTACTGTGAAACCTCTTAAGTCTCGATTTCAAGGTCTGGTCCCCACTCTCAACATCCAACATCTCAAACAAGCCTTGTGGCCCTTTGTATATCTCCTTGAAATCTGCTCCTAAACTCCCACCCTCCAACCTGCACCTATTCATATTATCCTTGCCAACTCCAACCATGTGCCTCTCTATTAAAGTCCCTGCCCCACCCAAAATTACCTCTATGCCCCTTGTATCTTCCCCTCCATTGTCTTCCTCATTCAAGTGACTTTTTGACTTCCCCTCTTCAACAGAGGAACCATCCTGAAGCTCCAACCCTGTTTCAGGCTTTTCAGAATTCCTTTTTGTTTTGGAATGGTAGAATACTGATATGTTTCATTCTATTGCCAATGGGCATATTTATACAGTAAGCTGCTGCAATAAATAGAAAGAAAGAAAAATAGGAAGAAAAGAAAATAGAAAGAAGAAAAAATAGAAAGAAGAGAAAATAGAAAGAAAGAAATAGAAAGAAAAAACTTTCTAAATCAATTCTTCCACAATCCTAGGAATATATACAATTCTATTTTCAGATCTGAACCAGTAACCCCACGTTTTCCAACACTTTCCTTTTGGCACATGCTCTGAAAAAGGTATTATCCTCTCCCTCAGCAATAATTCTTAGGTCATATTTCTCACTTGTAAAGCCAGAACTAAACAACTTGGAATGGTAGAGACCTCATTGACCTCCACAAAAATTCTCGCAATGTCGATTTTCTCTCAGTTGCTATTCCTTTCATCAACAATCAAGAATTTACTATAGCCATCCCCCATCACTTTGAAGGATACTTCACTCCACGCATGCAGGGGGATTCCAGAGCACCAACCCACATTGCCCTCCTTTTGTCTTCTTGTATGAATATAATATGCATATAAATTTATTTTAGTGTTATACTATAGTAATTATATATAAAATATATAATATAACATAAAATAACATATATACATATGTATACATTATATACAAATACATATATTTAAATATATCATCAGGTTGGGCCAGGAATTTCCAGGTTGGGCTTGTGCAGGCCAGGCTGAAATGATCACTCCTAATGCAAAGCTGAACCGGGTGCAAAATTTGTATCTGGTTCAGATCTGCACTGCAAACAAAGACAGCCTAAGTTGCAAATATTACTCTTGCTTCTAACCCGTGTTATGTGGAACATTCTCCTAAGCAACACTGCAACATGTTGCTTCCCACCATTAGCATAAACCTGTAGAAATCCTTGTACATGTTTCCCTACCTTTCCATACATTTTCTTTCAAACCAAATGGAGCAGTAGTGATTGTTTTGGTCTTTGTTAATCATCCAAAGGTGGTGATAATGATATTTATTATAGAAGTGTTAAATATACATAGTTTCTTTTATCGTGTATCTTACTCTATTGTGCATTCACATATATGGAATGCTGCATGAGACCCACCTCAAGCATTGAATGCACTCTGCGACCTCATTTCCTTTCACCCTAGAGAGAAACGGGTTCAAACATTATATCTTCAGTGGTTCAGCCTTAAAAGCCATGCTAGAACAAAAATTTTAATATCTTAACCATTGCCACAAGAGCAGCATGATGCCCTTCATTGTTGAAAGTTGAGTAACTTAATGGCTTAATTATGAAGTGCCTCGCATTTGATAACTAGGATCATTGGAAGACTCAAATCTGAAGTTTCCATGAATGTCCATTAATATGATGATTCAGCACCCATTCAATCCTGAAAATCTTCCTATAGAGTTATCCCTAGAGGCTCTTGGTTGACTGATTAGAATCATTAAAGAATATGTTTTTTTCTTTTTTTTTTGTGGTCAATCTTGATCTGTCATTTTGGGAAATCCAGATTTAGGGATGATGTAGGGCCTCCTATGCCCTTTGTGTCTGGAGTACATCCAAAATAGTGGTCTACCAATGATTTGGTTAAATGTTCGATCTTTTGTTTTTTTGGCTAAATGTTTGGTTTGCAAGTTGCAACCAACTTCACATCACAAGTACATAAAAACAGGGTGCATTGATCTTTATTTTTCTTTCTTCTCTATCTTGAAATAACTATATTGCTTTTATGTTGTTAGTTCTATCTGAAAACAGTTTCAATTTAATGCTTCATTTATAATCCATTTTTGGATAAAATGCTGATTGTTCAGATTCTGAGCAAAACTAAAATTGTATATAGTGACTTCGAACATTGTCTAGAAGGTTGTCCTCCTCAGCTAACTTTGGGTATTGGTAGAGTTGATCATGCCACTGGCAATCTGAATGAAGAACCTCCTATTAGGTTTCCTCTGATTGCAATCTGTTCTCCTTGTACCATATGACAATGTCAATTTTGATATTACTAAATTTGGATCCCTTTCTACATTATTTAGCACTAGTTTCCCCTAACTCTGCACTCATCATCTTCTCTGGAAGTTGAGGAATTTGACCGAGAATGCATAGACAAGAAAGAAGAATATACAGAATCCAAAGAGCACTACTACAGAAACACCAATCATCCCAGAACTGTAGCCTAGACTAACCTCCAGATAATCCTTCACAGACCCCTCAAACCCAGATCCAACAATATGGGTCTCCACATCGCCGAGCTGAGAAGTTATGATACCCCGAAGAGTCCAAGCCACAGGGCAAATGTAGTAAAACCAGATCCACCATCCTGGAATATTCTGAAAATGCATAAAGCACATGAATGAGAAGTTATAAAATTCTTCCAATTATTTATTTCCCCATAGATGAAATGCAGTGCCAACAGATAAAGCTTGGGGATTGACTCAGTTGCACCAATAAAAAATGGATACTCACTGGTTTTGGGATGAGAAAGCCTGAGAGAAGATTCCATAGAGAGAAAAATGCAGAAGAAACAACAGCAGCAAATTGCTGAGAAGGTGTCAGGCCAACTGCCATTATCCCATAGAATGTAAAATAGGTGAACGTGAGGAACATGAACAGAAGGTAAAACAGAAATTTTCCTGCAAAACATGACACATGCTTGTTGAATCATTACATATAAATCAGCCACATTACAAGTCTAACCAAAACATGACTAAGAAAGTTTGAGGCAGTGGCTTGACAGGTGAAAGATTGGAAAGGATTTATGTTAAATTTGGGTGGATTCTATAGAAATCTGTCTTATTTTTTTTCCTCTAGGTTGCTTATTGGAAAACTATAAAACAGTACGAATGGAAAAACAAAAAGATGTTTTCATGATCTTAGACATCTAAAGGGCTAAAGAATCAAATGACTTGATAGTTAGTTACCTATGATCCTCCATTATTTAAAGGAAAGAATATTGGGTTCGACTATGATATCAGAAAGATATGATGTCTGAAAAATTTTTGACCAATTAACTGGTATCATAAACGTGGTAGCCAATCAGATGTTATTTATGAAAATTCATGGGTGGGTTTTGATTGGTCAAAACTCTTCCAATACCATGTCTTTCTCGCATCATAGATTTTCCCAAGAATATCACTTGTACTTAGGTTGCACTTTACAAGTCATTAAAGTAACCAGTGCAAATTGATTGTAGATTTTTTTAAGTGTAAATAGGGAGGAAAATGTAATAGTGAAGCCTGGGCCAACAAATTTGGTAAATTCAAGGCAAGTTACTTGATGATGCATATTTTGTGTTTTAAAATTTGACACCATTACTTCTTTACAGCAAGAACAGTTATCACTGCACTGCTATGTCCCTAAAGGAAAGATGTGTAAACCTATCTCTCTCAAACTCAACATTAAAACAGATCTGTGATCTTTTCCTCAAGTGTGTGTGGATATGAATGTGTTTCAACTTACTTGAAGATGCAAATTTTGTGTTTTAAAATTTTGACACCATTACTTAGTTACAGCAAGAAGACTTCTCACTGCATTTCTATTTTCCCAAAAGAAAGATGTGTCTAAATCCATCTCTCTCAAAACTCAACATTAGAACAGATTTTTGATCTTTTCCTCAAGTGTGTGTGCACATGCATGTGCATACCAAATAAACCCTACATATTTCTTCACACATAAGTTGATCACAATACCAAATAAACCCACCAAGTGCAAGATTTTTACTTTTGGAGTAGTGAGTGAAGTTAAAAAAAAAAATCTTGAAACACATAAAAAAAGGAGAAGAATTAAGTGGGACCATAACATCTCCAATGGATAAAATGATGATCCTTCAAGAGTTTTGCAAAACAATTCTATGAAGTCTTCCATGGATGAATGTTTTGGAACTCGGAGAAACAATTATTTGTCATTCATTCATGATTTATCTTCAAAATTATTTGGCCTCTTCTTGAGTCAAAATTTAATACAATCCTTGAAAATAATATGATGTGAAAGGAGCATAAGAAGGATTTGTAAAGAGATAACGGGCAAGCTTTGGATTCCATATGGCATAAGGGTATCAAGTATTACCTATTGTCCTTTCAAAATTGATCATGAAGTATGTTGTAACACCAAATAATATTGTTTGCATGGCAATGTAAGGTAATTCTACAAGACCCTGTTGATGAAACATATAAATATACATATATACAAATCACAAATTATTCCAAACTTAGGGAAGAAAAAAGAAAACAAAACTTCATCCAATCTTAACACTCCTACCTGTGCTGCTGCATAAGGTAATGGTGAGTACATTCCAGCTGCTTTTTCTCTATAAAAAACTGTTCTCTCAATAGAAACTACTGGTTGTACTGAAGAAGCATTTTTTACTCCAAGAAACAAGCAGGAGGCATAAAGAGCTCCCATCACCACAAATAAGTCTTGTGTTGTGCCCCTGCAAAATATTTATAAAGTTCTGGTTAATAACACTGATGGCCTTTTTTAACTCTACATTCCAAAGAACCAAGAAAAAGAAGGAAGCCATGTTTATGCAATTCTCTCTACATGGCCAATTATACTATTCTGGCCAATCATTTGCCCACCTCTTATGCTTTTTAAAGGTGAATATCTTGTTCTCCCTTTTCTAAACTCAACCAGAAAATAGTCCATAGATCATGTCCTAATGTTATATTTGCAATCTAGACAGCATATCATTTTGTTTCTTCTCTCTTCCTAGTTCCTAAAGTTATTAGCTATAATTTCTTTTTTGTATATTTTTACTTATTTATTTATATAAATATATAATATAATTTATATATTGAATATATAGTATAAAATAATTGAACCTGGATTTTAATGGAAATGAATAGGTTAAATCTGCATCCAAAATTCAATTATTAATCGGATGCAGATTATAAAGTCCAAATCTGATCCAATTATGTAAATGGGTCATCTGAATCCAAAATAATTGAAAAAGATGTTGGATTGGGTTTCAAGACTTTCAAAGTCCACTGACAGCCCAAAAAATGGATTGGGTTTCAAGACTTTCAAAGTCCCTTCTTTATAATTACAAGGGATAATTACTTATACATACCATATTCCTTTACCAAACTACTTAAATATATCCTTTAGTTTGAAAAACTAATTATGCGTGTGGCCCCACATGACATCAACAGACCATTTATAAAATGTATAGAGCCGTATATATATATATATATATATATATATATATATAATGAAAACACCGTTCATCTTCTTCAAAACCGAAACCCTAGAGCTTGTTGATTTGGATGACTTTGGGCTGCAAAACTGCGGTTCATAGGTTTCCTTATATTTTTAACCTATCATACAATTGAGGTTGAGGTCTTTGGGTTTTCAACTTTAGATTTTTCAACAGTATATATGAACCAAAATGTGTAAAAAATTCTCTTGACTGTTCATCAAATTTTTAAAACATGCCCCTCGAAATTTGAAGGTTCCTTTGGGATTCCTATCAAAATGTTAAGCATTTGAGTATGCCAATTTATAAAAGCAGAGTGACCAGAAATACATTTGCTTACGTAAAAAGGACTTCTTTGGAGAAGTACCAGTGAAAAGAAGATTCAGCTCTCTAATTGCTCTCAAATTGCACTGGAGAAGGTTCACAGTGGTCTTGGCATCAAAGACTCTTCTAATTTGAACTCAGTTATAAACTTATAACTAAACTAGCATGGAGAAATTTTAAGAAACAAAACAGTTTCCTCTCTCATGTATTGTTATAAAAATATGATAGGAGAAATTTTCTTGAGTTTGATGCTTGAAATGGCGACTCCTAGTGCTAGAAATTCTTCTCTGAATTTTTGGACTTCAAATTCTTCTCTGAATTATAATGGTTGAATGGTTAACAAGGCTATATAAGTAGTTTATCAAACTACAAGGCATATTTAAGTAGTTTCCTAAAAGTACAGGGTATATAAGTAATTATCCTTAACATCTCATCAATACAAGAATTACGCCAAAGAGCAAGAAACAGTTAACATCTCATCAATGACCAGGTTGAATGGTTAACAAGGCATATAATCATGCAGTTGATAGATGGCTAATTTTTAAGTTTTTAAAATAAATGACCTAGGTGGGTGGTTTCATAAAACCGATTTTTCATTTACAACAGTTTTTAGGGTATGACCAAACTAGCTAGGGGCCGATCATGGTTTAACTGGTCCAACTGGCCAATCCGCGTGTTTTCTAAACAATGCATCTCATAACACGATAAGAATGATTAAAAAAATTATCCATCAAAGATAAATGAAAAGGAAGAAAGGAATCACCTTTTTGAACCAATATTCCAAAACACTGAACCGATTATGAACGCACACATTATAGTGAAGAATAACCGCACAACATTGTATTGGGGACTTCTCCAATATACAAGAAATTGTTTCCAAAAGCAAATCCGAAACTGTGTTATGCTATCTTGTGAATATGTAGAAGAAAACTTCAAGGGCTCAGAGCCAATGGCTGGAATACTCAAATGCTCAATCAATGCTTCCACTTCCCTAAGTAAAAAATTCAAATCATAATGTTAATGCAAGTATCATACAATATAAGAATAAGCAAATAAATGGGGAACCATTTAACAACCATTTTCAAAAAAAAAAAAAAGAAAACAAATCAAACAATATTGACCACTGTTACCTGTATTGATTAGAATTCCTGTATATGTTTGCAAAGTCTTGCCCAATTCTTTGCTCAGCCGCTGGTGTAGTGATCTCAAGGATCCAAGTTGCAGGATTATAACCATCGGGAATGGGAGGGACTCCATGAAGTCCCTGTGCATGGAAATGAAATATGAGGCTGAATCACTCTTCCTTGGACAAAGCAACTGAATAAGTTGCCAAGCTTACAGAAACTTATCAATAAATTTGTTTTCTATTAATCAATTGTTTAATACTATATTGAAGTTTGATAAAAAAATAATATAACAACTACTTGAAATTTGAAAAAACAAAAATATTTCTTACTTACATGAAAATGAATTTATTTACAAAAATTTGGCGGGGCAATAACGACTACTATGAGGATTAGATGGCAAGGGAAAATGAAACCATCAGTCATAAGATTTTTATGTGAAAACATATCAGAGAAAACAAATTATAAAAGAAATTCCTTCACAAGAGAAACGTTTGGGGTAGTGGACTCACCCACAAAATAGGTGAACAACAATCCAATAGTAGTCTAAGTTCATTTAGCATTTAGACAATTTATGTGGATCACTTCCAAAACCTTTACTCCATCTGACTGCGTTTGGAGAACCCACTTCAATCGAGGGAAGTGAGGATCTTAATGCAGGAGTTCTCCATGGATTAACAGAAGTGCCATCACATTTTTTCTTAGGTGCACTGGTGCAGTTTGATAACAGTTGAATCAGCTGAACTGAATAGCTTAAAACTGTCTTTTACGGAATAAGTCATTGAGGGGGCAAGCTCCTAAATGGATGTTTCAGCCATTAAGGAGTTTTGCCCAGCACTTAATGGTGTCCACTAAAAGACAAAGCAATGAGCACTCAGTTCAACCAATTCAGCTGTTATCAAAGAGATCCATATTGGAGTTCACCTAATAAATGGAACTGAAAAGCCCAAGAGATGCTTTCGTACATCAAAAACCAAAGGTTTACATTAATTTTGGTTTTACATCAACCTGGCTCAAAACCGAAATTTCAGAAAATTTTCAAAGTCTGCTCAGAATTTCAAGAAAAACTAATAAATATAAATAAATAAATAGTATATATATAGATATATATTTCAAATTCTTTTTATTTTTTTCCTTTTTTATCCATCTCATTCTTTTCTATCTCATATTAAACACATCTTATTCAAATAACCAATTAGACTCCTATTTTATATCATTTTTTGTTATGCTCCATATATTTCGTTATGGCCACTCCTGAAAATAGAACGAAATCTCAATATTTATAAGATTTCATGGAAACTTGAATCCTTGGTTGAAAGGAAATCCTAAACTAAGGGTGAATTAACTAATACTTTCTCATATTCAAATACAAATTTAGCACAAATGTATTGAGTGCCAAATCTGGCTTACATGTTTTTGGTTCAAAGATATGATCAGAAAATAGAGTGGAATGGCAAAATCACATTTGTCTAACCGACCTGATATAGTTTGTAACTTGGGACAAGGCTTTGTTGAGCTGAGTTGGGTAATGTTTATCACGAACACATAAATTTAGATGAATAAACAACTGCATTTTGTGCAAGTTCTTTGATAAGTAAGAGTCTTTGTTACCAGGAGTTGGAGAAGAGAACCCAAGATAATAAACTTATGCAAGTTCTTTGCATAACTACAACTCTAAATGGGACAATTTATTTTTATTTCTTCAGTTTGAAGTGAAATTCATAACTGTTCTCCACAATGTTTGAATTGAGAAGGTAAATGGCACACAATTGACTATATCAATCAACTCAATGGTACCTGAAAGTAGTTGATCATAATTTGTGAGTGCTCTCCAAGCTTCCCTCCATATATAACTTGACCCCCTCGTTTCATAAGAAGTAGCTGCACCACAATCACAAGAATTATATGTAAGTTATAGTTTGAAGGAGTACTTTGGATGAAAAACAAAGAAAACTTCTCAGCCACCTCATCAAATGCTTCGAATATATCAATACTAGGTTGATGTATTGTGCAAACCACTGTTCTTCCAGTATCAACAGTATTACGAACAGTACGCATCACAATAGCCGCTGCTCGTGCGTCTAATCCAGATGTAGGTTCATCCATGAAAATAATGGAAGGATTTGCAACAAGCTCCACTGCTATTGTTAGGCGTTTTCTTTGTTCAGTTGATAGGCCACTGGTCCCAGGCAAACCAACCAAAGCATGCCTTAGAGTATCAAGCTCTACTAATGTCATAACTTCTTCAACAAACACCTACAATAGATAATAATGGATTAAATTAAGAAAAAAAACTGTAAGAAGCATATATTTTAGATGTTTACTCTTCTTAGACACTAACACGCCTGCTTTCTCTGCTGACATCTTTTGGAAGGCGAAGAGATGAAGAAAACAAAAGGGATTCCTCAATTGTAACTTGAGGAGAATGAATATCATTCTGTTCAACATATCCTGCAATTCTGGAAAAAGTACTTTGCTCTTTTGGGTACCCTGATATCCTAATATCCCCCTCTATATATCCACCAGTTTTCCTGCCTGCAAGCACATCCATCAATGTGGTTTTCCCTGCTCCACTTGTACCAACTAATGCAGTAAGAACACTAGGGGAGAATACTCCACTGACATTTGACAATAGTTGCAACTTCTTTTCTGGGATCCCTTTTGAACTCATTTCCTAAGAAAAAAAAAGAAAAAAAAATTTTACTAAAATGTGCACTAGAAAAAAAAAAGAAAATAAAGCTACTACACAAAATTACCTTAGGCATGTTGACAAAGTAATTAACATTATGAAATGTCATTGATAGTGGTTGAAATGGAAGGATCATTCCCCTCCTTGGAGCTCTACTTTCAAAAGATAAGGACTCTGAATCAGGTATCGGACTTCTCGCTGCAAAAATCAGGTTGTTGTTAATGTAAGAATGATAAACTAGACACGTATTGGCAAATCACATGTGTATGAAAAAATCTAATGAGAAAATAGATGCACTGAAGTAAGGGTCCTTTTGGTTTACAGCTAGAATTTGAATCAGAATCGGAATGGTCTATTCCCCCAGTTTGTTTGGTTCAAACATGAATGGGGATGGGAATTGGAATCAGATGGAATGGGATTTCATTCCCAAGGGAGGGGGAGGGAATGGCCATTCCCTCAAATGGGGGAATGCCATTCCACCAGGAATGGGAGTGGGATTCCGATTCTGTCCAACCAAAAAGTTGGAATAAGAATAATTTATTCTCTTCCCCATTCCAGATCCCTATCCCCGCAAACCAAACGGGTCCTAAATTTGGAATATATTGGTGAAAGTTTTAAAGAATGTACACTGACCATGATCATTATTTGAATTATCTTCTCTGCAATCCAATGCAATCACAGCCTGGGCTTTTCTCAGAGCTGTAATAAAGAACCACATACCATTACTGGAAGAAAAAGTGACAATTAAACTATAGCTCCATAAAACATGAAGTCCTTGTAGACTTACAGTTAAGGTAAGCCAAGGAAAGGGTCACCAAACTATTGAAGGCCACTGCATAAGCCAACATAACCCCAATACCAAGCCAATACCAGTAACTAGCATTGGGTAGAGCATGTGAATGGAGAACATTATATCCAACTGTAGTGTTTCCATATGTAGATCGCTGCCAAGTAAGAATGTTAACAACACTTGTAAGTCTTATTCAACAGTTGTCCAAATGATTAAGTACTTGGGAGATATGCCAAATATATAAAGCACAAAGATCTAACCAAATTGCTAGTGTATAAGTACTAAAGAGCATACTTCCATCCATCTTGTAGCTGAAAATTCATTGACTGAAATTGCACGCTGCCCATATGATAATGGTGACAACCAGAAAGCCCAAATCCACCATGGCTTAATCATTGCTGGAATACAAAGCACTCAATCATTAAGGAAAGCTTCAGTAAATTGTTGTTCAACTTATGAAATCAAATTAATTAAACCAACCTTTTGGAAGGAGAAATCCTCCCAATAAGAATACAAGTAGTAGGGAAGCACTTCCAAATGTATTAGCAATGATGATATCCCGTGAAATAGCAGCCATCATGCCAAAGAGGCCGAGTGCCATTTGATGTACTGAAAAGAAAGTGAGCATGAAGCCGAAAAACCTAATAACAATTGAGAGTTGATAAGTACCAAAACTTTCAAAACAAAATGCAGCAACAAGAATGTTAAACTTGGCAAAAAAAAAAAAAAAATCTATGAACACCCTAGGAGCAAAACCAACAGTATAATATACAACACAAGACCACACAACAGCTTCCAGGACTGAGTAGGGTATACGCAATATCCAACTAGGAATGGACCAAGCCCAAGCAGGATGGAAGAAATTATCTCTTTGCTTAAAGAAAACTGGCAATCGGGATATCATAATTGGTAACTCCGAAAATCCATTGGATAGCAAATGCACCAGACCAAAATACAAACAAGAAAGGTAAAGGTTCCCATTTGTTTCATCTGTAGGATGTAATCTTGTTCGTAGAAAAATTGTACATGTAACAAATCCAACAAATGCAACCTGTGAAAATACGTAAATGCTGTTATAAACACCCTGACAAGAAGTGGCCTAAAAGTGCATTTTTTCCTTGATATGCTAAATGTTATTGATATGCAAGCATTTAATACGAAAAGATGAAATAGTTACTAAAGAACAGAAAGGATTATCGTCCTTGCTCAGGAACCGGTGCTTGTCTAGGTCTTTCCACTCATGACCCCTTTTATCCTTATTTCCCTTCTTTTATTAATGCATTTATTTGATTACTTATTGATCAAAAACAGAGAGATTTCGCAAATAACATTTCTTCTGTTTAAAATGTCACTCATAAATATGGCAAGATTAAAGCATACTTGGCATGTTCTGAATATATACAGGAACCGGTGCCTGCTAATCAATAGAAGTTCCCGTGTGAAGCATGTCTTAAAGAGTTCCCACTTTGGTACAGCATACTTTGTCTTGGCAAGAGCTGAAGGATGACTCTTCCTTTTATCATATGGAACTGAAAGATTGGACTCCACAGACCTTCCAAACTCAGAGTTTCTGAATGCATCTGTAATTTTTGAAACAGAGAGAAACACATATGGTTTCCAAGGATCGGCCCAATACTGTGCTTGATCCTTTCTGGAGGTAACCTGGATATAAGATAGATCCATTCGGGCAGAGAGGCCTTAGATCTTAGAACAGGCTAAAATATTGACCATAAAGAATAATACCTCTTGAAAAAAAAAAAAAGTACCTCTTGAAGAAAATCAGCAACCCCCTTACGAGGTGGCAATTTAAAGCCTAATGATTGAAAGAAATCTAATGCTTGTGCTCGAGGACCTTGATAAACTATCTGTCCTTCAGATAATAGTATTAAGTCATCAAATAAATCAAACGTCTCGGGAGCAGGCTGAAGGAGGGTCATCAAAACAGTACCCTCCATTTGGTGAACAAAATTACGTATGCATTTTACAATTTGGTATGTTGTAGAACAATCAAGTCCAGTAGATATTTCATCCATAAACAGGGTTTTCCTTGGTCCAACAACCATTTCTCCTGAAATTGGATGACAACATAAGAATAATAATTTAACATAAATATTCTTGAACAAAAAAAGAAAGGTTATGTGGAATTGAGCATGACTTTCAGGTCATTGGTTCTGTAGTTGACGGTCAAGCAGAATTTATTGGCTTTCAGTAGAATGATGTATGATAGATGATAATTTTTTACCAGTAGTAACTCTCTTTCTTTGACCACCTGAGACACCTCTGAGCATGTCATTACCGACTAGTGTTTCTGCACATGTATCTAGACCAAGGACTTTCAAGATGTAATCCGTTGAAAGACTATGCTTCTTTCCCCCAACAGATGATGCCTATTTTCAATTAAATTTCAGAAAATTTGAGAATGATTAAAAAAGGAATAGATAAGAGCTTCAAGAGGAAGGATTAGATAGGAACCTTCATGAATGCATCAATTTCTGGACTTGGACGTATATTCTTTTCCTTCTCCAGTCTGACCAAATCTTCCAAATATCCTACAGTTTTTAGTGATGAAACAACGAGTAAGACTTTGCACTGAAAATCATAGTTCTGACACAACTCGTTAAAGTACTCATGATCATTAGTAGCGAGTTTTAACCAATCACATATTAGCTTCCTAAGTAACATGTCTACAGATATTCTTATAAGAAAACCACAGTAGCTCTTTTCAATAAATCATCATATCTAGCAACAAAAAGTATGGAAAGAAAGTTGGGATTTGAGAATACAAATCCAAGGTAAGACTTCCTTACGTTGAACTCACTCCATATTCTCTTTTGCAACCAAATTCACTAGAACATCTAGAAAGTGTATAATCTTTCAACATAATAATATGTGATGGAAAGTAATAAGCAAACCTGCGAAGCCTTCGCTTGCACCTTGACATCTCGCAGCAAAATCTAAAGTTTCCCGGACAGTTAGCTCTGCAATGTGGTTATCCGTTTGGCTTATGTAGGCAGAAGTTCTTTGTACGCAAAATTCATTAAGCATATGTCCGTTGTATGTAATGTTGCCGCTTTTCTGAGGGGAGAAGAAGACCTGATGAGTCAATAAAAACTTATAGAATACTCTTGCATGTATACAAATATCTATCTCCTGAACTTTTCAGGGAAACGCAAATGAAGATGAAAGATCAACTAATATCTTTATGAATGGAGAAAAGTTTAAAAAACCATTGATCTTTATCTACTCTATCCTGTGTGAGGGTGTTTTGATTGGTCATCAAAAGACTACCTACTCAGTTTGATATGGCATTCCAATTCTGTGTAAATTAACACTCGGTTTGATATGGCATTCCAATTTCCAATTCATCAGTGCTGATATAACAGACTACCTACTCAGTTACACGCTCAAATGAAACTTAGCAAATGATGGTGGCTCAGTCCAACAAGTCCTGAACCGTTAGAGTGGACCCACTTGGAGGGGGTGTTAGGTAATGGTATTCTGTTTTTGAAAACAAAAACACAAACGGATACATCAGCCAAAATATACCCCGCAAAATAGGTATGGTTGAACGGTCCACCAAGTATCACGATCAACCAATTGATGGTGGTTCAATTGGTAAATTCTCTTGCTAGTTGCATTGAAGATTTAGGGATCAAATCCCGTTATCACTAGTGTTGGGGGAGCCAAGGAGCACTCCCAATCTGCTACCTACAAAATGTTTCCACATCTATACCCACGGAACACCATCACAATGTATTGAGAACATCTCCCTATGAATGAAAAGGGAGAATTTACTAATGCACAACTGTAATGTTCTGTGGGTAGAGATGTCGGAACAACTTGTGAGTAGCAGATTCGAGCCCACCAAGGAGGGGTTAAGGGTATTGGGATGGGTTGTCCCTGACTCCCCAGATGTATAGTCCCATTACAATCTGGATCTCTTACCCACAAGAACCTTACCCACAGCTATCCATGACACTATAACCATACATCAGGAACATATGCCAAGCATGATAACATACAAGTAAAGGAAATATTCTCCAAGTGTGGCTGTGATGTCATGTGAGTACATGTGGGTAAGAGAACGGAACTGGTATCATGAGGGAAAAAAAGTGTACAGCAATCAAAGCCATGAAACCAAACTAACATGTGAACAAGTTTAGCCACGTTTGCAAGGTGCCAACTGATTGGTTGGGGGATGGGCTGCCCTGTTGTGTAGCCCATAAAGTAAGAAAAGTTCAGTCAGGGTTTGAAAATGCAACCAATGTTGATTCCCATGGTTTTTAAAATCAACTCGGAGACCGAACCGGTCAGGCGTCCGGTTACCAAGTCGAACGGTTTGAGTTGAAAAAATAGGCAAAATCGTTCAAACGGTTAGCCACCCGGGTCAGCGGTTTGCTGACAAAAATCAACGGTTTTTGAGATATCCCATTTTTGGGGAAAAACGAAACCAATTACCTGACCGGTTTTGAAAACCATATTGATTCCCATGAATGCAAATTATGCATGCAAATATTAAAGATGGGAAAATGCACTAACCGCTAAGCCATGCTCGAACTTCCCAGCGAGAGCTCGAAGAAAGGTAGATTTTCCCGAACCAGGAGGGCCCAAAAGCAATGTCATCCTTACAAAAGAGAACAATAAATGTAAGGCTCCGTTTGAGAAGAGTGTAAATAGAATGCAAATACAAATATATAAAGTGCATTCTGGTCCATGCAAAAACAAAGTTGGTTTAGTTTTGCATTGATAAATTTACTTTCTTAGTTGCAATGGGTGTAAATATAAATCTTGAGACTGGAAAATACCCTTTTAACATTAATCACATACCAATTTACTTTCTTAGTTGTAATGGGTGTAAATATAAATCTTGAGACTGGAAAATACCTTTTTAACATTAATCACTTTGAGTGAAAAAGTACGTGTCCATTTTTGTATTCAAATTTTGCTCTCATTCTGAATGCAAACATATCTTGAAATTTCATTTTGAAGACACAAATGCATTTTTGTCAAACACTAGCAAAACTGAAACAGAGTACATATATGCATTGAACCAGCATTTGCACTCTTCCCAAATGGAGTTGAAGTGGTTTTGTTTTCATAAAACAACTGCTACGTTAGATTGGCTGGAAGGGAAAATGGTTGAGTGTTTATGTTTTTTTGTAATAGTATTACTTTATTTGAGATTTACTATTAATCCAATAATTATATTTAATTTTTATTTTTATTTAGTTTTAATAATTAAATCATGTTTAGTTTGTAATTTAAAAATCCTTATAGTGACTCTTTTATTTAAATTAGAAAATTAAATTACAAAGATTAATATGACCCCACATCCTTTTGAATTTTGAATGAATACTTTTTTTTCTATGAATAGCCATGTGTCTAAAATTAACTCTTTTTCTAAGAATAGAGCTAACTATTCTCACTTTTTATAAGAGTGGATAGATACATGTTTAGGGAAAAAAGCTTCTGCTTGAAAATGGAAAGTACCCACATATTAGACACTATTTCTTAAAAAGATAGAGTCCCATGTGTTTGAGGGACACGTTCTTTAGTTTGAAGCTTTTCCTTTAATATAAATGTATATTAAATTTGAATTTCTTATTTAATATTTTCTTTGAGATTCACTATTTATCCAGATTTAATTTGAATTTCTTATTTAACTTAAATGATTAATGCAGATTTAACTTATAATTTTAAAAGTCTTTATAATGTTTTTATTTGAATTAGGAAATTGAATTACAAATATTAATATGGGTCCAACAAATGGTGTGGATTTATAGGTAACCTACAATTAACTTGAAATGGATACTTTTTTTATGGATTGCCATGTATCTAAAGTTATCACTATTCTCACTTTTTCCAAGAGTGGATAAACACGTTTAAGTAAGGAAGTTTATATGCAAGAGTGGGGAATGCCCACTTCTTAGATTCTATTTCTTAAAAAATAAATAAATAAATAGAATGCCCTGTATATGAAGGAGAAGCTCTCTAGTTTGCTGGATTTCTTTCAATACATACATACATAATTTCATTCTATATATGACACTTTTCTTAATACTTAATAATTAATTATGGGTCAATTTCAGAGCTGATATCTTGGAATATCGTACCCATTTCCTTTAATTTTGAAAAGCATTTGAAAGGAAAGAAAATCCGAGTTGACAAAAATTTTATCAAGTAGCCATCCTATTTGAAAACCACATTCATTTATATTGATCACCAAGTCCAAATATCTGCTTCATGAAGAGCAAACCAAACTAAGTTCCAATAATACCACAAATACCTGACATAGAGGAACACACTCTCTTTAGAAATACTGGTCCATTTTCATATCAAGGCATTCGGAAAATTGTCTTCCCTAAGGTTGTGTTTGGTTTAAAGGAAAAAGTAAGGAAAGGAAGGGCTTGGTCCATTTTCCTACCTTTTCCTTCAAACCAAACATAGCCTAAGTGTAAATAGTATGTGAATTATGTCATTTGATCAGATTTCATAACCAAAAGTAAACTGAATATAGTCCTCCAACAATGGTCACTCAACAAGACCCCCCTTTCAATTAATGTTATGTATCTTTATTCTTCTTAATATAAAAGATTTTATTAAAAAAAAAAAAAAAGTGAGAACCTTCTTTCTTCTTCATCCTCCTCCTAACCCTCTTCCTCTTAAGGAGGCTTACGCCTCCTTGTGTTCGAAAGGCTTACGTCTTTTGTGTTTTGAACTATACCTCACGCCTCTAGGTACTGGAACGCCTCACATCACACCTCTGTGTTTTAAAACATTACTTTGAATACCCTATCCATTTAAGAGCTCTTATTGACCAATAGATTTCCCTGTGAGCAACCAACACCCACTAAAGGTCTAAGAAACTCTATGGACCAATTCTCCAAATTATAGAATCCCACCCCATTGAGAACTAAACATGTTCCATAAGCAAAACATAATTTCCCCTTTGGGAACCGAATTTACACACAACACAACTTCCCCTTTAGGAACCAAATTGGTACACAATGCAACTTTCCCTTGGGAACCAAATTAGTACACAGTACATCTTCCCTTTTGAGAATAAAATTGGCATATAAACCAACCAAAGATTCATCTTCAATTGTATAGTAACAAATGTAAATGCAAAACCACAAACAATAAACAAATCCAATCACTTCCACTGACCAAATGTATCCAAGGATATAAAAAAACCAAACAAATCGAGAAATCACTAAACTTGTCAAATGTACAATGAGAATTCAATCAACGTGCAGCCTATATAACTCCCACTAATTTAATCACTATCACTAACTACAAATATTCCATAAGGTTTTGTATTAGTAAAACATAAAAAATAATCCATTTAATAAGTTTAAAAGTAGTAGGGAAAAACTAATTAAACAGGTTTACAATTAATGTTCTAGCAGAACCAATAAATTACTTCAATCACCCTTGGGGTTTTTATATACTTTAATAAGTTCCTAGCCTTAAACTCTCTAAGACAAAATCCTGAATAATTGATAATTCCATTTTATTGGCTTCATGCCAATTTATATACCTTTGCATGTTGTTTTCATTTACATCAGCGGGCTGAGCAAGTTCATCAAAGGTAAGCATATATCATATTCCTCAGCCCCAATAAATGTGTCTAATTTATATACCTTTTATAACTAACATGATTCATCCAAAACCAAATGGGCTTGATTGAGGAATGAACAAGCCCACGACATAAAAAACCGTCACCTAAACAAGGCATGCAATATCCATGTATTTCTCTGCATTTACTTATTTGGGCATAAAAGTTCAGATATACTTCACTTTCTAGTCTTGTTCCAATTCCAAATAGTAATCGGCCACCTTTGGGTTAACCTCTCATAAATGAAAATGCAATGCAACCCAATAAATAGTAATGGGCCACCTTTGGGTTAACCTCTCATAAATGAAAATGCAACTGGCAAGCCCAATACATAGTAATCGGCCACCTTTGGGTTAACCTCTCATAATGAAAATGAAAATTGCAACCCAATAAATAGTAATGGGGCCACCTTTGGGTTAACCTCTCATAAATGAAAATGCAAATGGCAAAATCCGTTTAAGGAAAAATGCTGAACACTTCATTATCATCTTTCAAGTTTCCAAACACTTTAGCGTAAGGTTACCCATCCAATTTCCCAAAGTTCCAACTCAGTTGTAACCAAATTATCAATCCATTTCTCATGGATAAAATCCCACAAAATAATTTTTTCCTATGAGTGGATGGAATTGCTCAAAACAAAACAGTTTAAGAGAAATCACACTAGGAAACTAAGAAAAAGTATAACAATCGAGAAAATAGCAATATAATATGAAATTGTATGTCAAATCGTTCTAAGGAAACAATTAAAAGATGATAAATTGGTGAAGCAGTGCCTAAATTAACTTAAAAACCATGAAATTTTGTCAAAAGGTAGCCTATAAAGTTAAAAAACTACATGAAGAAAACTGGGGTCTAAACTAGGGGTGGGCATGAGTTGGTGGTTCGGTTTGGTTCCAAGGAAAAACCAGCTGGAAGCAGAACCTACCCTGCCAAGATTGGTTCTACCTTCCTACAAAATAGTTGAACCCACAACCCATAAAACAGCTATAAGTTCAACTAATCTACTGTGGACCTTGAGTTAAAACAAAAGATCAGATTATCCATTGGATCGTATCGTCTTCGAGTTTATCTTGGAAGATTGGGCATTCGGGATGGAAAAAATTAAATAAAAGGTTCTTCCATCAACGTGAATAGCCTTTTACCAAAACAAACATGACTAGTTGTTACATATTTCCTGTCCATTTTACAACATTAATGAACCTTTTTTATTAGAAAGCATTTAATGAACCATGGGACCCAAACTATGCCTTAATTTGATATGGGGAGGGTGAACGTGGCCAGTTAGTTCAAATTGCCATATCTGTATATTTGAAACCTGGTAACGCCAACCATGCTAACCATAGTGCAAGTCATACCATGTGTAAGAACCAAAATGGTTGTGGGTGAACTTAAATAAGTAAATAGCCCCATATTTAACTTGATATTTTAAAAATTCAGGAAACAAAAAAACATAAAATTCTAAAGGGGTCAGAAAGCAATATGAGGAACTTGATGTGGTCATGCGGATAACTGCATTTTAGAATACGGTACTAGTAGGGGTCCTATGCAATGCATGAAAAAACTCGATTTCCAATATGATGACCAAAGGGATTAAAAGGAAATGAAAACCTTTGCCCTAAGAAAAATAATTGAAGATATCATAAATTATTGTAAGCCAACAATAGTGTATTTCAAATTTCAAATTTATTATTTTTTGTTATTTATGATTTTTATTGTTAATTTTTTACTATTTACAAAGTTAGTTTTAGTCATTATTTTTTGTTATTTATTATTTTATAAATAACATTTTTATTTTATTATTTAAATAATATTATTTGTTTTTTATGATTTATTACTTAGTACTTAGTATTTAGTAATTAAGTTATTAATTTATATAAATAAAAGTTAGAGAGTATTATTTGTTCTTTATTCCTTTTATTGTTTATGATTTTTCATTTTATATTTTTAGATAATATTTTTATTATTTAAATTATATTTGTTTACTAAATACTATCTAAATTATATTAGTTATTACTTATAATATAAATAGGCAAAAAAGGGGACTATCGTTTTGGCTTGTCCGCAAATTTGCAAATAGGGTTAGGACAAATCTAAATGATCATCATAACTCATAAGTAAGAGCCTCATGAGAACTCTAATTGAGACATTATTACCTTTGTTATTTTTATATAGAATACAAATTGGTTATTTTATTATTTATAATAATTTTTGCTTTTTATCAAGGTTCAAAGTATCGAAAACGCAAGGTTTATCAAAAAGACAATTTTAAGAGACGTATTGGGATACGTATGGATATGGACGAAAAATTAAGATACACGTAAATATGGTACAAATTTCAAATAAAAAATCTTAAAAAATATATTACTAACTATATTTACAAACTTTATATGATTTTAAATAAGTCATTTAAATGAAAAAACCATAATTTAATGGGTCGGGTAGCCCAATGGCCCGACCCACACCCCAGTCGGGCTTGGTCATGTAATTAGGCCTGCGGGCCTGACCTCGGGCCTAAAACACTAAGCCCGACTGTGTTTCGGGCCAGGCTCGGGATTTGTCAAAAAAGCCCAGCCCGACTCAGCATTATATATTTTATATATTATATAAAATATATAAATAATATAATATTTATTAAAAAATATATTTATAATTTAATATATACATTTTTTATTCTTTTCTTTATAATCTCTCTCTCTCTCTCTCTCTTTTTCTCTCTCTCTGTATTCAGCCACTAACAGTATGGGCTAAATTTCGGGCTCGGGCCCAAGCCCGGACTTCGGGCTTTTTATGAGGGCCAGGCTCGGACCCAAGCTGTAGGCCCGATGGTCGGGCCAGGCTTGGGCTCAGGCCTTAAAAAATTCTGTTAATACAGAGTGAAAGCCCGGCCCAACCCAGCCCAACCCGACCCATGAACAGGTCTAAGTGTGACATGTCGGGACACAATTAGTAACCGTTAAAAAAATGGTGGAATAACTAAAGTGTAAAAAGAACAAAAAAAAAACTAAAATGTAAATGCCATTTTTCAGAAACTAATATAATTAATCATAATAGTTATTAGTTTATAAATTTTAATAATTAATTCTAGAATTTATTAATAAAAACTTGTCACTCATTAAGTGAAACTTTACTTAAAATTAAAAATACATATAATCATAGCAAACAAGTATGTATTGCTCATTTGCGAACTTGTGGTTGTTAAAACTTAAAATCAAGTGACCAAGGTTTGAATCTTGCTATAGCTAAAATTTGAAGTTTTTACACTAACAAAACAAAATTAATGACATGGAATCATTAATTAAAGGAATTAATGAGAGAATTTGAATTAGGTGCTAAAATTCAAATTTAAATTTAAATTTGCCTTGGAGTAACTCGCTAATTAATAAAAGAGAAATTAGAATTAAATAAATGACATTAATGAGAAATTTGGTATTAAATATGGATTAATGATACAGATCCAACTGTATAAGATTGTTTCGGGCCCATATTGACCGACACAGATCCGAAACAACCCAATATGGACTCGTAGCCGATACATATGAAAAGAAACGAAACGAAAGATTTATACATGTTCCACGTATCGGGTTCTTGTCGGAATGATACGTATTGGCCAATACGAATTAATAGGTTGCGATATTTTGAACCTTGCTTTCTTATTAATTATTTTTAGTCCATTAATTGTAATTATTTTCAAATGGATTTTAATAATTGAATAAAATAAATGGATTGTATAATATTTAAATAATTTTATTATTTTTAAATGGTCGTAAGAAGATTCTCAATGTCGGAATTAAATCCCAAATCCCACCTTAAACACACTTAAATAGGTTAACGATGGAAGAGGAGGGGATATGATTTTAAATAATCTGTCACTCTCTCACTTTGAAAAAGTAAATGCCTTGAGACATTTTTTAAATTCTCTCTCTCTCAATGAGGGAGAGGGAGATTTGCATTGGGCATTGAAAAACGAAATGCATTTTGGAGCATTGTTTGAAAAATGAAACGCATTTAGGAACATTGTTAAATGCTTTCTCTCTCTCTCTCAATAAAGGGAGATGAGCAGTGGACATTGAAAAAACAAATGCCTTTTTTGGGACATTGCTAAATGCTCTCTCTCTCTCTAATGTTGGAAAGGAAGATGAGCCAAATACTAATTCCTCCTCACATAATGGTTCTTAAACCCACTTGTAGCCCTGCATTGCCAACATACAAATATGCACGGGAGATGTTCCCAATATATGCGTGCTATGAGGTGGGTGCAGGGACCATTCTGTGATTAGGAAATTCGAGTTCACATGAGCCCAGCCCATCATTGAACATCAATGTGACATAGTTTATAATAAATGCATGTGTCAAATTTACGCGGATTTTATTCCTGAAAAAACCAAAAAAAGAAAAAAAATAGAGGCATACTGCAGAGAGGAAATACTACATTCCTACCCACTCTATCCGCCGTGAATTGGAAGCCGAAAGTGTAACCCTAACTGAAACTCAAAAACCTCTAATTAATAGTTTATGGTTTATACCTTCCGGGCTTCACACAACCACTGATGTTAGCTAAGATGTTGAGCGTGTGCCTTTTGGGACGAAATATCCTCAAACTATTCAGTAATTGCTGCATTAATTTTACAATTACGAATGATCATCATAGAATTTCAACAAAAATAAATAAATAAATAACGATAATCAGAGATTTTTATAATAAGAATGATAATCTTATCTTACCAAAAAAATCAAAGTTGATAATCAAAGAATATCGCATCTCATACCTCGACTGCGTCACGGGTATAGTTCACCAATGTGGGCAATGCTCTTGTGCCGGTTTGTACCTGGGCCGAGATATGCAGGTTCTCGAATCTGACTTCTACCTTCGGGACCTCCAAACCGACTCTGTTTTCTAGAATCATGTCAGTCCAGAATTATAGATTTTTAGAAAGTCTTGATTTAGAGAAGCAGTTTGGAGCGGTTCTTTCTCTCTCATACACACACAGATTCGCCAGAGTATGACAACTCAAATAAAAGGAATTTAAAAATTGCAAAAAGAGTATAAGATGGTTGATAGAAACATCAGAGAAACCAAAACAGAGAAGTCGTCAAAGATCAGTAGAGATGATTGATAAAAGAGTATGAGATTCACGAGAAAATTAACAGAGATGTTCTCTCTGGATGACGATACCTTTCAAGACGTTCTTTAACTGCGGATAAGAGCTTATAGTTATCTTGCTCGTCCGTCGCGAAAGCATTCTTGACGACGAGCTCACGACCGAAACGGTCGAGTTTCCTGACATCGATAGTCTCCGGCTTCGCTTCTCCTCCATCAGTATCCGAAGAAGCGTTCTTCAAGATTGCGAAGTTCATTCTTTTCCGAGACGGCAACTTCTCGATTGCAGCCCAGAGAAGTTCTTCTTCATCTTGTACAAGCGAATCAGACTGCCACGAGAAGGACGCGCTTCTACTGTCGATTTCGATATCGAAATACTCACTTCGATTGGACACCGCCATGAAATAATCACCGTTGGAAGATGTATCTTTCTCTCTCCCGAAAACCAGAGAGAGAGAGCAGAATTCAACAGGCTACGAGCGGGGCCGCGAATTTTGAAGAGAGATGGTTAGGGAGTCCTCTTGAATTGACAGAGAACGAACTCTTTGTGATTTAATGCAATTAAACGAAGGCTGACACCTTCTATTTATAAACCAGAGTTACAACCTGTTACGTGATTAACTCGTCATTTTGCATTAAAAAGAAGTGAAAAAGAGTTCGTTTTCTTTTACCGATACCAAGAAACTGTTTAAACTAAGCCGTTCGTTAGGTGACGTGAAAGCCTTTCAGTGTGGAGAAGTACCGGCCTAGACACAATAACAAGAAACCATCCGACCTAAGCTTAATCATTTTAAGTTAAAAAGCTGTCTGGTGAAGTCATCGCTCAAAACACTTTTATTCTCTAACAACAAGGTGCAGGTCGGTAAGTCTTTTTAGGAAGAGATTTCAGCAAGACCAATGTGGTAAGCAACCTGGTCTATTGGGCTTTTAAAAATGCATTTAGGAGGCTATTGGCACGTAGAAAGACGACAAAACTTACATTTCAAGCTTTTTGAAATTCGGTGTTTTCAGCCATTTTGGATCTTTTCTTGCACCTGTCTTCTTAACTTTCCACCTTTTCATTACCAAATGAAAAAAGATTGAGTTTTGGTCTTTTGAGTTTGCCAAAACCCAGAAGACCATTCGGAAAAACTTGCCCAACACTACTCAAAATCTCTTAGGCTTGGAAGGGTACAAATACAAATATATATTGTGTAAATATAAGGTTTAGAAATATCGTATACAAAGTTCTGCATTTTATTAAATAGGTATTTATGCAAATGTAAGGGAACATTTGACACAGTATGAATGCAAGTGCAAGAAAAGTGGAGAAAAAATGTAGGTGTAATTGCATATTGAACAATGGCCTCAAAATTAAGGCCTCATTTCCTCCTTATAGAATGGTTCTCACAGCACCGGTGCATTGGAAACATCTCCTCATGAATTAAAACATACAAATATGGGAGATGTTCCCAATGTGCAACTGCAACGTGCTGTGAGATAAGTGTGAGGACCATTAGGAGGAAATCCCTTGAAATTTTTTATAGTTGCTAGAACTTCCCCTATCAATTCCCCCAAGCTTTTTGACACCGTAGCATCTACTACACCCCTTCTGCTAGATTGAGATTAGAAACCTAATAAAAAACGATTTAAAATACTGAATTTACCCTTAGATGAATTCAAGGTTCAAAGTATTGATATGTATCGGTCCGTATCGGCCGATACGTATCATTCCGGGACCCTTCCAATACGCCCCTACTGTGGGTGTATCGGGGGTCTGACTGGTTCAGGGGGTGGAGCCCTAAACCAGCCCCCCTGAAGCGGTTGTGAAAAAAAAATATAAAAAACAAGCACAAAATGTTGTATCGATTCGCTCGATACACTCCTACCGACGTATCGAACGTATCGATATTTTGAATTTTGGATGAATTACCTATTAACTCAAATATCTCCAAACTAATTTAACTATTTTACCATAAAATAAAATAAGTAAACCAAATTGCACATCATCCCAGTGTCCAACCATAGTTAAGAAAAACAGCTCCATGACTAGGGAGCATAGATCAGTAAGAGGTAAGACCATTCTATTATCGCTCCCTTGTAAACCTTGCTAAAGTGTATTTCTTGAGCAGCAAGATGGTGCCGCAGTGGAGGCCAAGGGTCTATTACCAGTCACCATGGGCCTCACAAGTCTACTTTTTCTCCTCATGAAATATTAAAAATAAAGAATTTATACCAAAATATAACTATATATCTTAGTCTCCTTAATAAAGTCTAATTAAGATAAATGTACAAACATATCTCCTCATAAAAACCCTCTTATGTTTTAATTTTCTCTATTAAAATCTATAATTATTCTAATAAAATCATTATTAATTCTCTCATAAGACCCCTCTTTGAAAATCGTTTGGCCCTCACATGTCTCCTCATAAAAAGCCCCCTTATGTCTTAATTTTCTTTATCAAAATCTTTCATTATTCTTCTCTAATAAAATCATTCTTAATTATCTCCCCCCACCTCTCTTCAATAGTCAACTTTTTTGACCCTCTTTAATAAAACATGGGTATAAATTAATTGGATTGGGTGGGGTTTAGTGTCAACCTAGACCAATCTTGAGCATAGACCTTGGCCTAAAACCAAACTAATATGAAAACCTATATTTGTCAACCTCTTTAATAAAACATGGTATAAATTAGTTGGATTAGAACATCTCCCGCTGCAATGGGATGTGAAATGGGTGAGGATTCTGTGAGGAAGAAATAGGATTCCTTTTTTTTCTTTTTTCAGAGATCCAAGCTCATAATTTTAAATGCTGGATGCTGAATTTTTCAATATCAAGCATATCCATAGTTTGAAGTTTGAAGTGACCATACCTATAAGCAATGTTATTGATTTAAAATTGGGAGAGCCCAAATTAACTATTTCAAAGCCACTTGCATGAAGCTTTCTTTTAGTGGCTTCAGATAAAGCAACTCAACCAAAGCTTGAGCCCTCCTGTCTCAAATGAGACTAAGAGCCTTTGGGAGGAAATCAGATTTGGTCTTCACAAGACCATGCTCAACCTTTTGCAGTCCCTTGCAGCCTTGCATTGGGAATATCTGCCCATGAAGAAAAGCATACAAATACGAAGATATTCCCAATGCACATCTGTTAAAGGCTGTGAGAACAGTATGAGCACGACCTTGTGAGCACTGAATCCGATCTTGTTTGGGAGGGTTTCTGAGTTTCAATTGAACCGCTGCATAAAAGCAGTAGCTTCATTCCACAGTCGAGAAAATAACGTTCAGAAAGGGTATACCTGCATTTTGAATTTCACCAAACTTGGCTTCTGCGTTTTCCATTTGGGGCCCATCTCAAAACACAAGAAGCCGCTGTGCAAAAGCCCTCCCAAACGGGCACTAATTAATGAACCTACTTCAAGTTCATAGGCTGCTGCATAGCTTCTCCATGCAGGAGAATTATTGTAGCGCCCTCCCAATTCATAAGTTGCTCCAAGGCTTTAAATTCAGTTTCAGGTTTTATTTTGGATGGATACTTGCGTCAGTTTCACGTTCTCAAGGTTGCGTTTGTGACAAGGACTGAATGTGCTACTGAAAAAACTTTAAAAGCTACTACCGTTGAGAATATTAGTAAAATTAAACAAGGTTGTAATTCCCAATGTCCAAGCTACATTTAATAGCTTTACCAAAAAAACAAACTGCATTTAATATAAGTAATACAACAGAAGTAATTCAAAAAGAGAGCTATACAAAATTAAACAGCTGATAGGGACAGGAATGTACCAAAGAAGAAAATCCAAACGAGTAGAGCATGTTAGCAGCCTGTACAAGTTTGGCAAGAACTTCCAACCAAAATGGAATCTTCCTATATGATTCATATGGTTTGGATTTTAGAACTTTTCAACATCTTAGCGTTTTACTTTGGTCAGACAAGTGTGAGATGATTTTGATTCAGATCTCTTAGATTTAGAGTTCTTGCCCTTGGAGCTGAATGTATCAGCATCAGAGTCATCATCACTCTCACCCCCAAATTTTTTATTGCTTTTCTTCCCAGCTTTTCCACAATGAACAATCTTCTTTTCATCTTTCCCTTCAAGGAGCTCAGATTTCTTGTTCTTCCAAATGAAAATTGACCTAAAATAGTAACAAAGTAAGAATAACTAAACAAGTAAACTAATAAAAAAAAGAAAAAGCATAGACACACAAAATGAGAGTTTTTATTTAATGTTTGCTTTGTTAGGATATATAAAGGACACTATATTTTCAAACTTTGTCTTGCAGTCATTCACATCAAAGCAAACTAAAAAGAGAAGAAAACAAAGTATTCAGTGTAAAAGAGGTGGTTATAATAGCTAAAATATTTAGTCTGAAAATTGTTCCATCCCTTGTGGATTGAATCTATGGAGCCTAAGAGAAATAAGAGTGCAATCCCCTCAGAACTCTGATTATTCATCAATAAAGTAGTACCAACATATCTTCAAATGCTGACATTTTTTTTTTGTACTAAATGGCTCAGGACTCCTAAGATTTTTTCTTGTTCCTCAAGACTTTCCTCTCCATAGAGCCACCAGGGTATGATTTAGAAATACTAGATTGATATTATTTGTTGATGTCACCTCAAGTCTACTTCATCAGATTGGGTTGTATCCAATCCAGAAAGCAGCAATGGCTAGAGACGTTAAAGGCTCTAGATTCAAAAGAAGAAGCCCCTTATCATATAAGGAGATCAGTCAAAGAGACCTTGCTAGAGAAGAGATTTGCCAGTTGTCTCGCATGGAAGAGAGAGCTTGGAGACAGAAGTTTAATTGGAAGTATTCACAAGTTCATCTCTAAAGTGCTAGCAAATAGGCTAAGATGTGTACTAAGCCCAACCATTTCCCCTTCACAAGGTGTTTTTGTGTATGGGAGATAGATCCTGGGTGGCGCATTGGTAGAAAATGAATGCATAGATTCAAGGCTCAAAGCTGAGAAGCCAGGAGTGATTTGTAAGCCAGACATGGAGAAGAGGTATGACCATGTCCGGTGGAGTTTTGGTGACTACCTGCTTCAAAAGATTGGTTTCGGTATGCAGTGACGTAAATTGATCCAGTGCTATCTTGCAGCTGCAAAATTAGCAATCTTGGTGAATGGAAAACTGAAGCTTCTTTGCTGCCAAGAGGGGTCTCCAGCAAGGTGACCCAATCTCCCCATTCCTCTTTATTATTATGGTGAAGGCCTTAAGCAGGCATGGGAAAATCTATGATGTGGGAAAGACATGATATAGGAAGAGTTTTCACCAATCAAAACCCACCCATGAATTTTGATAAATAACACCTGATTGGCTACAACGTTTATGATCCCAGTTGATTGGTCAAAAAATTTTCAGATATCATATATTTCCGATATCATAGTCGAACCCAAGCAGGTAGATAGGTAAAACAGTTTCAGGTGGATACCTTGAGGGCTTCAAAATTTTGACAGACAGTGATCCTATTACCCTCCTTCAGTTTGCAAATGACTCCCTAATCTTCTCAAGACCTCAAGCCTTGCTCTTGCTCAGGTGCCTTCTCACTTGCTTTCAGGCTGAGTTGCGCTTTCTTGAGTAAACTAGGTTTTGTGAAAGTTATATCACTATCCAATGATTCTATGATCCGCATTGTTATATTATATCCCTGAATTCCAGTAAAAAAAGAAACTAAAGGCATGCGATTTATCCTGTATCCTCACAGATTTTCTAATTCATTGTTGATGAAAATGAGTTTTTCATAATCCTACTATGAGATTCCCATTTTGCAAGCCCCTTTCCCTTCTCTTTCTACCTCTTTATTGCCCAGTACTCTTAGAATTCTGTGGGAATTTCATTTTAAGAGCTAGTTCCCTCCTTCCTCTTACTCTTACTCCTCATGAACTCCTCAAAATGTTTTAGAGAACTTGTATTTTTCAATTTCTTCACTTCTATATATGCATTACTTCTCCTTTTCGAGAAATTGGAAGGCCTTCTTATTGGCTAAAACAAAAAGAAAATGATTCAAAAAAAGCTGTTTATTCCACTAACCTAATTGCATTTGAGGTCATCAAATATGCAAAAGCCTTTTGTGGCTCATCTTCTATTACAAGGTTTTCATATTAAAATCATCGAGTCATGCAAATTGGCACATCAGTTTGGAAAAGCCTTTGGGATCTTTTTTTTCTCCCTTTTTCCAGGCCAAATAGTATTGTCATCCCTCATTTATTGGATGATTTGGAGAAAAGAAACCAAAGAATATTTGAAGGCTTGAGGAAGGTCTTTTGGTCATAAATTTGCCAATATTACTAGCCTTTTAGGACTTAGGGTTTGAGAGATTTGAATGGGCTAGCTAAATTTTGTATTTAACTGGCATTAAGGGTGTACAGGATGGTACACTGTAAAGACCTTCATTGGTTTTTAAGCTTTCTTATCAGGGAAAAACAACAATTTTTTTGATCGATAAAAACAATTAAAAATACTTATCAGGGGAAATCAAGAAAAGGAAAAAAAAAAAGGAAGGAGGTTTCATACTCATTTTCAGATATCATATCAGAGGTTCCGTTTCATTGGGATTTTGTAACTATTCTATTTTCAATGATTTCTTTCCTCCCGTTTCATAACTGGACTGCTGGAATCATAGTGGCAATATCTGATTATGAATCAAGTTACAAGAACTAGCATGAAGCAAAAACAAGAATATACTTTTGGGTACAATGAAAATAGAATTCATTAAATTCTTTATTGGGGGGGATGATTGGTGATACTAAAAGCCCCTGGTCTATGTGGCACCAAATTAGAATCAGTAAAGCTTGGGTTTTCCATGATCAGCAGATGATTCAGATGGATCCCATGAGCCATGATCAGATAATTCTTTGCTAAGAGTGGGGCTGAGCAAAGCAAGGTGTATCTCCTTTTGTTTTTGGAAGGGGCATTCTCATTTATGTGGGTCCCATTTTTTGTCTCTTTTATAGTTTAGCCACTTAAATTTAGGGGTCCTTTCTTCTTTGTATTCACTATTTCAATCATTAAGTAATTTCTTTTGATAAGCAAAAAAAAATAAGAAAAAATAAGAAAAACTCAGCAAAAACAGGAACATAAGCACAAATTTACACGACTATGGTATAGAATCAGAACCTTGAACTCCCAGATGCCATGACATCATCTCGTGGATGTAACTTGTTAACAGGACTGATAGTTGTGATATTTGGTTCCATCACTTCAGCAATCAGCCGGCCTGTACTCGTGTCTATGAAATCAATAGGATGCAAGGCAGCTCCATTATAATTCTCACTGATGTAACGGCCAATTACTGCAAGGGACTCTGACGGGTCCTGTAAATACATTCATTTTAGAAGCTTTAGGACAGAATTTTTTACATAGTAGAAACTCCAAATACATGCACAATCACCTTTGGGTCCCATTCAGCCCGAAAAGGGGTTAAATGTCTGTTGAAATCATGGCTATGTACAATCTCTCTACTTGGGGAGTGCATCTCGCCAAAGATTGAATCCCATACTCGAAGGCGATTGTCCTGGGCTGTAGTGAGGATTTTGGTTCCAGATCGTGGAGAGAAATATGCAGAATTGACAACACGACCATGAGGAAGATCATAAAGGGAAGCTCCAGCTTCTAATCTACGTATATCCCATATACGAGCCTGGGAGGAAGTTCACTGTGAAGTACTTATACATCCATATAGTAAAACCTTACAAAAGAAAACAATTTCTGTAAACTCATGGAAAAAAGTGTTCAAGCCTCAATGTGCAGAATGAGAACATTTTCAAATAACAAATTGATGCATAATATAACATTCAATGATGTCCTCTTTGACTCTTTGACAGCTACAACTTGCACAAGTAAAAGTTTTGCTGATACAAGAGCAACTCTCAATAGAAAATACAATAAGGGAAATAATACGATATTTAGAAGGCCAAATAAATAGAACATCAATTGCCAATCAATCAAAACGAAAAAGAAGGCGGTAACAAAGATAAAAAGGAAAAGCAAAACCCAAAGGAAAACTCACAAAGTGATCGTTTCCACAACTTAGAAGAAGCTCCGGCTGAACAGGATTGCAGTGAAGCCCAACAACTTTGCTACCTTTTTTATGAATCAAAATTGTCTCCCCAACTTTGTTGTTTGAGCGCATATCCACCCTAAAATGTCATATGGGAAGAATCAACCTAATATTTGGCCATATAGCTTAACAGACTTTACACAAGTGAAAGAAAAATCATGGATCAATCTTCTCCAAAAGGAATAATATTCAGTCCCCAAATAAGAGTGTAGCCTTAAATTTCATATTTACTACTTTAGCTTTCCTCTCCCAAGTCTACTAGCTTCTGCATCCTCTCCCCTTTAAGAAAAGGAAGAAGAGATAAAATAACCATTAGGAAGGAAAACAAAACAGAAACAAAAACAATAATTGGGAGATAGCAACCCCTCCCAACCACTCTATGTAGGTTTACATCTAGGAAATCAAACAGTCTGGAATCAAATAATGTTAACCTCACTGACAGCCATGGTTCAAAATATCAATACTCTTGACATGCAAAATCTGTGCACCAAGACTTTCATTCAATTGAAACTCATCTACCTCTTTATGTTTTTGGTCTGACATTTTGTCAGTGGACTTGTCTTGTCATGAAACAGCATTTAAAACAAATAAAGTCAATTAACCTTTACTGATGAGCATATCGGTTACCCTGAAAAGTGATATGTATCATATGATAGACATACATTTTGATATTTTGAACCTTGCTGACAGCATTTTTTTTATGAATACCTTGCTGACAGCATTTGTAATAGCAAAACAGTCCATGACATTTTGCCAATAACATCAACATGATACAAGTGAAGAGTATTGGCAGCTAAATTGGCACCACTAAACAAGAAATCCCAAGACATGTTAACCATAAAGCTGATATACTAACCTTTTTTTTTTAACTTTTGAACTTGATATGAAATGGCAACAACTGATACACCAAAAGCCTTAAGAGTGTTGGAAAGCATCAGGTCAAGCTATTTAACCTTTAGGACCATTACATAAGCACACCTTAAGGGTTTTTTTTTTTTATCAGCAAGGTTCTACTTTCATATAGTCAATCTTCAGAAATCATCTTTTTTATCAGCATCTTAAAAACTGTCTTTGTTATGATAGAGCACAATGGTAGGATAGGATTCGTGTAGCCAACCCCAAATCGTTGGGATTAAGGTTGAGTTGAGTATCTTCAAAATTTGCTTTTGAGAAAAAGATCTCTATGTAGGATTTTACTTAGACAAGATGGTCTCCATAGTTCACATCTCACCATTTTCCATCATCTCTTGTCACTGAATCTCCAAGTAACCCATTCTTTCTCTTTTTGTTCTAGCAAGTTCTGTTTCCTGCTCCAATAGCAGACCCTTACCCCACCCCAAGCATAGGCAAGCACGATACCTGGTAGCATCTAGACATCTAACACCTGAGCCAAATACACAGGTAATACTATCTAAAAGCAACGGGTAACTCCCTATTGTCTTCATCGAAGTTTGAAAGAGTATGCAGAGTAAAGTTTCTAGCCGTGCATCTATAGTTTTATTTCCCCTATCATTCTACATATAGAATGAGAGTCTAAAGCTCTAGGATTCTGTTCATCATTCTATAGGTGTTATATCTCTTTGACAGTGCATGTGAATCTAGGATGGTGCAGATCTCCTATACATTCCCAATTTAGATAGAGCTATTCTACTTTCCTTTATCTTTTCATTTAATTATTTGTCCACCAAGTTACTGTTTGGGAGAGCAATCACCACTTGAAACGGAACTTTTTCCAAACCTTTATTTTCATTGGCATCAAAAATATGTAAAATGGAGAGACTTCTTACCATTTGTCAATCTCCTGTTGATTTTTAACTTGACTTTTGGAGTGGTTTTTCTCTCTCTTTGGTTGCAAGTGGACGTCATCAAATATGGCAGTATGTTAAGCTGACTACATTCAAGTGGCCAAGGAAAAGGGAGAGGTTTATATGGCATTGTAGGGTAACCATCATTTGAACCACTTGGGAAAAAAAGGAATACAAGGATATTCAACGGGCATAATCACACTAAGGAAGCAATTATTGACTGAATAACAATGAAAGTGGTGCATTGAATAAAAAACATAGATAAGTAGAAATATTTCTCTCATTCTCAATGGATTATATCTTCAGAGGATGACAAATGGTGACCAGCTCATTAACCTTTAGAGCTATGTCTCAAAGGCAGAGGGAACCACCTAGCACGTGGCAGCAAATTTATAAGGCTCAATTTTGATGGCAATAACATTGGCAACCTAAGACTTTTGAAGTGGGTAGTGTGTTTAGAGATGGAAATGAAACTACTTCAACAATGTACTCAAGCCCAGTCAGCATTGGAGATTCCACAGGAGCTTAAGTTAGTAGTAGTAGTTCTACAAGGCTTGAGATTGACAAAATCAATGAATATCATCATAATAGTGATAGAGGGGGACTCAAAAGTGGTTTTAGATGGACAGAAAGCAATACCCAAGCAATTTGGCAACATACACAAACTATTAAGGAAATTGGATGGCTAGCAAGGGAATTAAAGGTAACAATTCAATGGGTTCAAAAGTCGGCAAATAGTTTGGCTGATGTATTGGTCAAGCAAGGGGTGAATAGGTACCAATTCCTTTGGGCTCAAATGAAAAGCTTAATAAAAAATGAGATAGGTGGAGTTCTTTGGCCTATATAATGGGATGTATCATGTATGATATATTTGTGTGTGTGTGTGTATTCTTTCATACAGTGCAATTAAATACCTTAGTTACCCATTGTAAGCCAATAGGCTTCATTAAGGCAGTGTTGGTAGTTTGACTCCGAAGGTCAGGACAAGAATGGCACTCCCAAGGAGAGAAGTCAGTGATTCAAAGGAGAGAGAGAGAATATGGGTTTCTTCCTCTCCATAATGGGTTCCCATACAGGTATGGGGCCCTATTTATAATATTTTGGACCATTTTGTAGAATCTTCTTTTATATATATATATATATTGCCTATTTTTCCCTTATACTTAAATTAATGCACATCGTTTAATTGCTATTTTGGAATGTTCTTAAATGCTACCATTCTAGAAAGTTCTAGCTCTTGAATTGTTTGTAAATTATTTTTCTCAAGTGGATAATCAGCCTGAATAGGTCCAGTCCAATGTTTTAAAATGTGGAGGCGTGACGCAAGGCGTTCCACTACCTAGAGGCATGAGGCATAGTTCATAATGCAAGAGGCGCAAACCTCCTTAAGAGGAGGGGGGTTAGGAGGAAGGAGGAAGGGGAGGAGGATGAAGAGGAAGGGGGGATCTCATTTTTGCTTTATTTTTAATAAAAATATTTTATATTAAAAAGAATAAAGATGCATAAGATTAGTTGAAAGGGGGGCGGGGGCTGGAGGGCACCGAAGGGGCAGGGGGCAAACCACTTTCTTTCCCCTTATCTTTTCTCCCCTTCCCTTTCCTTTTCTTTTCTATCCTTTTCTCTTTTTTTTTTCTTCTCTTTCTTTCTCTTTTCCTTTACTTTTTTTTCTTTTATTTTTTGTCCTTTTTTTTATCAATAACAGTAAAACTTTATTAATGATGTGAATATTTGTGAAGATTTACATACAATAGGGAGGGTAAAAAGACTTAACTCCCCAACAACGGAAAACAAAGACAGAAAGTCAAAAATTAGCCTAGAAGATAGCCTCCCTATTCACCCCCTGCTTGGCCAGCCCATCTGCAAATGAGTTGGCAGACCTCTTCACCCACCTATAGTGTATCTCAATGTCTTTGCCCAACCAACAGAATTCTTTCTTTTCATTGTTATATCTCCACAAGCCACTGTCCTCTTCCTTCAGCCAGATAATCACCACCTTCGAGTCACCTTCCAAGACCAAATGTCTGATATTTAGTTCCCTTGCTTTTTGAATTCTGTTAACAGCTGTTATTTTTTCCTATGTATAGTACCACAAGGGTACTATTGTACTTTTACTCCTTTTTATTTTAGTTGTTGTCGCCCTAGTATATATATTAAAAAAGCTGCGCCGCCAGCAGTATCTTTTTGCTCTCAGTTCTCTCTTCTCTCTCTCTCTTCTCTCTTCTTCCATTCTTCTCTCCTGCATAACACGGTATCAGAGCGGGACTATCAGATCTGAAAGGAGAAGTCGAGTGAACAGTTTTTTTTTCTTCTTCGCACCAGATTTCCAGATCTGCCACCCTCATCTGCTGTTCGGCTGATTGAAGATCTCACACACTGAAGTAACTTTTCTCTCTCTCTCTTACCTTTTTTTCTGGTCGTGTGCCAGGGCAGAACCTGTACTAGGTCTGCCAATTGGATGTGAGGTGATCAGCACCTCTTTCTTTCCTTTTTTATGGGGTCGACTGATCCCTGTGAAACTGTAGGTCGTAAGGACCTTTTTGTGTGCTACAACAGCAGCTTTTATGGTGAACTGTGGGTCAGAAAGTGACCAGTACCTCTTGTGTGCTACAAGAGCAGCTTTTATGGTGAACTGAAGGTCAGAAAGTGACCTGTTAGTGCTGTAACAGCACCTGTGTTTTTTCAAAAGGAGGTGTGTTTCTGAAGAAAAAAAAAATTCGTTCCCCCTCGGTGTTGAATTTCTTTAAGGCTGTGTACCCCATTTAAGAGTTGTTTTTGAATCTGAAATCATGAGTGGTGAAGATTCTGCTACATCCGGTGTTTCCTCAATGCTGAATGGAATGAGTGGGGGTGTGGACCTATCCTTTCCCATGGCTGTTATTCCTCTTGATGGTTTAAATTATTTAGAGTGGTCAAGAGGGATCAAGTTGTACATCACTGCAAGGAGAAAGATAGGTTATATTAACGGGAGAATCAAAGAACCACATTCTGGGAGTGCTGAATATGACAGATGGAACCAAGAAAACAGCATGGTCATGTCTTAGCTTTTAGTTTCTATGCAACTTCAAATAAGAAGGAATTTCATGTAGGCTGAAACGGCAAATGAGATCTGGGAACAAGCAAAATCAWCATATTCGGAACTGCGACACTATGCAAAAATCTACTAGCTACAGGCAGAATTGACTACTTGTAAACAGGGGGAGAGGTGTCTATCTGTGTACTACTCAGACTTGACCTCTGTCTGGAAGGAGTTAGATCATTATCAAAGTGTGGACTG